TCCATAACTATGCAGTAAGAAGGCGGATGGAGTAATGAGGCTATCATAGGCATGTTGTGTCTCAAATGGAATAAATTACGTGGAGGTAATGACAACGTAAATGATGGGTGTAGTTGAATGTGGTGGAAAGTGAGTGTTGCAAAGACGTGATCAATGGGAGGGAAAATAATGGTAGTTTAGGCTGGATTGGATTGAATTCACCAATTCCGCTACATGTACATACACACATAGTCCCAATATATATGCATATTACGGCTTCCATTTATTCAAACTTTTCTATACATGTATTTTACCACAAAGTCGTCTTATTTTTCATGGAATTCCCCTTCTTTTTGTTTTATTTACTCGATTAAGCCAATGTCGTCGTCTTGTAATAATGATTGGATGGCTTCTCTTGTTTTCTTATGTACATAATAATACGTATGTATGCACAAATGTACATATGCATGTGTACATAACCCTATTTTTTATTTTCCAAGAGTTCACGCATAGTGCATTCATTGAAAATGGTTTAATGATTTCCTGGCCAAGTAAGAAAGTAGTTGGGCAGCAGGATTTTTGTGCGGAGGTTGAAAATTCTGAGACGAATGTTGCACAATTACACATCATATTAGGCCGAGGGAAAGTAATGCGAAATCGGATTGGAACTTTGGTAAAAGCCTAATTTTTCATCCACAGAGAGAATGAATGAGTGGAAAATGAATAGGGGTAAATTTTCTTGGCATTGACTATGTTTTCTTTTTGTTCGTTTTGTGATTTTGTGCTCCTGGTGAATTTGCTTGTGCACGTTGGATATTTGTCATTATACAATATATTTTCCTTTTACCCGTCGTGCTCTGCTTTTCCAAGTCGGCATAACCACTTTCAGCATCCATCTGCTAGGTTATATGTACATATTTATGTGGTGGCATAAGTTCGCTCAGCGGGGTTCCACTTCTCTTTCTTCCTTCCTTTCTCTCCCATATGTCCCTTTCCAATCTCACGCAAAAGGGTATTGATGGAACCGATTTTTCTCTGACATGCAAACCCGGAGGCCATAAAGCATTGTCCATGATGATGTAGTTGTTTTTCTTTCCTACTCGTATCAGATGCTTTCTGACATTCCTCCGCACTCGTGCTTTCCCCATCAGGCAGCACAAAAATTGGGATACGTTATTAGTAACTGGTCGAATGCGATAGTTGCTTTTTTGACATAGATTTGCAAATGTCAGATGACAGTAAATGTTGCATGTTGAACAGAGTGACTGAAACGACCTTGTCCATTATCACAGAAAAAAGTTATCAACAAGCCATTAGGGTTCCTTGGACAAGGAAGTGAGACCTAATTTGATTTTTTTTAGATTCGCATTTGGGTTTACGGTACACAAAATGCGCATCATAATGTCTAAAAAACCTAAGGAGTTGAAATTAGTTGAAAATTACGAGCTACCCACGTTTTTTCAACCAACATACACTTGCACGACAATGATGAAAATGTTATTGTAATTGGCCCTGAGCGTGCTGTAGAATGAGTGGACTCTGCTAATGGGGTTTTAACCATTTTTGCTGAAGCTCCTGCAAGTTAAAGTCTCACGAGGAGTGACAGTTTGCAACTTGTTTCAGTTCTTTTCACCACTTACAAAACGTTGGGAACAAAAAAGAAAACTGAAGGTGCCAGACAATTAGTTTCATGTCAACTCCAATTCGTGTATCGTTGTCTCATATCACATGGGAATCGACTTTGACACCTTCAAACTTTTTTTGATAGTCGAGTATAGTCGATATAACACAGAATTGTGGATTACTTAAGATTCCCTTTGCGATTTTTTTTGTCTACAAAGACTGTGTCACATTAAGAAACCGATTCTTTCTTGGTACCATCTGAAAGAATAGTTCTAGAGTATTATGAAAATCAAAGATTGGAGAAGCTAATTTGGTTTCATTTTTCATGTCCATTTCCACCATGGGTAATGTGATTTACTCCGTACTTATCTATATATATCCTACTTCCTCTAACACATCATCATCATACATATTTATGTATATGGCTTGTTGCAATACAAGTTTTTTTATTTAAAAAAAGAGATCAACAACAGCAAAACTTGGAATTTTATTCCAAGTCATAAAATACATTGAAGAGAAGAAGTTTTCCACCACGGAAAAGTGTAATCCAATCTCATGAAAGTTGACGAGAACAACTCTCCCAACGCTCGTAAACCATTGTCTTTTGCTTGTACGTTGGTATGTCGTGTGAGTTGCGAAATTCCAGTGTTCTCAAGTGAAGTCATGGGATACTGAGGAATGGCGGAGTGGTGGTAGTGACTTAAATCTTTTTGACCGCCCCTCTTAACTTTTTAACGTTGTTTTGTAATTCATGACCCCCATGATTACTCGCTGTCATGCTGTTTGTCAACTTTTGACGTTTCACGACATCACGGGATGTTGAAATTTTCAATTGGTGGAAAAGTGAGAATTCCTAATGTTGTAACATGTTAGTTGGTGAAGAATAACTCAACCAAACTCCATTTAATACCTGCGCGTCTTGAAAAAAAAAAATTTAAGCACATTAGTTATCACTTTCCGTTAATGGATGTAACTGAGACTCGATGTTTATGTCACTTAGTTTCTCTTCTCGCAGGGTGAGAGCAAGTTGAGAACGGCAGTCTGTGAAAAATGCTTCAAGTGCTTGCTGTCTCAGAGAATCAGGTTCACCAGCAACCAAATTTGGCTAATGGATTCTACACACCACGACGGTGTACAGAAAAATGCAGAAAAAACGAGTCAAGTCGTGTGCATGTTAGATACTCGGGTTTGAATTAAGGCATCCTATTTCAGAATTACCATCATTTGAGTTAGGAAATGAAAGGGAATGCGAGGTCATATCTGTTACCTCATGAAAATGTTTACATTTTCTGACTCCATTGTGCAATAAAGGAACAAGTATCAGCATCGGCACTTGTATAATATTAAGTGGGACGGCTATGCGCACTCATCTCATGTTCTTCCCATCCTCTCCTCTGCTTATGACGAAGAAATGCAATTTGGCATTATCCCTGGAAGAAGATAAAACTAATAGCTTAAAGTTGTGAGCTTGAAACTCCATTGCCCACGCGAAACGAAGGAGAGCCCACCATTCGGAAATAAGAGCAAGAAGAAGTGTTTTATTTAAACCTGTAGTCAAGAGTCCAGACGGACGGACGGACGGGTGGGCAGGCGTTGGTTGGTTGCAGATTGTTTCATTTTTAGAAAACAGGATGAACTTTAAACGAAATGCAATCCACCTGGTCTGCTGGCTACGGTATTGCATAGGAATGGGAGCAGTGGAGAGGCAATAAGAAAAATAGAGAGAAAGTATCTCTAATAATTATGCAAATCACTTCCCTTCCGGATCATGTAAATTTCATCTATAAAAATGAGCCTGGGTAGCGGAATTAGTCCTCCGAGTGCTTTTCCTCACCTTTCCTCCCTCCTCCACTGCAGAGCAAAACAATGGAACAATTTCCGATATGAGCTGTAAAAAAAACTCCCCCCGGCGATATAATGAAGGAAGGAAGAAAGCTTTCTCCGACCGCGCTTATGTAGAAATATAAGTAATTTCTTAGCTCCCCTTTATTTTATTTTATAAGCTTTGTATATTATAATTTTCCAATATTTCGTAGTTATTATTCTTTTATTACTATTTTATATCCGAAGTTTTGCGCGATAGATAGTATATTTATTGTCGTATTCCTTAATTTTCTAGGTTGCACAAAAATTGTTGATTAGATTATGGAACTCGATCTCACAATTAGTCAAGGAGAAAGTAAGGTTGTATGTCAGTGAGTCGAATAGTCGGAGTAACTGGCATCATCACCATCTTGTTGTAGTCGTTGTCTCGAATTTCATTACTAGAATGCGTGAATAAATAAAGAGCGGAGATGATGGTAAATTGTCGATTTAATCTCTCGACTCGACGTAAGCTTCTTTATTGATGTCAGAAGCCAGGTAGAGTTTTCTTTGGGCGAGAGGGCATAGGACATGCAATAAAGGGTCCTCAGTTTCCTTTCAACCCAAATGAATGAGATTGTTTACTTACAACAACTTACTTATCCCTCAGCAGAAGTGGAAAGCTTTGTTGATGACTTCCAAAAACCACGAAATTCGAGCCCTTTTGTTCTCTTTGTAGCACGCGCAGCAGCTTGTTCGTTCGTGGCTTTATTTACCAAGATCACCTCATTACGAGCAGAAGTAGTATTATCTGCTCCACTCTTCATATCTACACTTTATTAGAAGCCACAGAAATAAGCCCGGCGTTGCAGTTTGTAAACTTTATTGTATAACCTATCGCCTACACTCTGTTGCACCTACAGACTGTTAAATAGGGATATGAAAAGCCACTTGAGAGAGACCATCGTTTGAACGCTATTTTCTTTACGACAGACAGGAAAGCTTTACTACTTGTTTGATTCAAGGAGTCCCTAAATCAAACCAATAATGTGATGATGATGAATCATGCTAACGAGTGTTGTGCATTTCCTGCCCAAGGGGCTAAATACGTGGTAAGAACTACACCACGACAAGCTTCTTTGAAGTTTTAGTTGAGGTGGTATACCGTGTATGGCAGTAGCATTTTAGCATTAAAGTAGTCTGATGAGGATCTAATAGTAGGTATACATACTTATATAACAATTTGTTTGAGGTGTTTTACTGCTCTTCACTTATTGCTACTGCTGACAGTTCGCTCCTTTGTTCCTTAAAATTGATAGGTAGAGTATTGAACATCACATAAATCGTGAAGAGTATTTGTGAGCATCACTTGATAACAAGTATTTCCGCTGGCTGCCTATTTACTACAAGAGTGAAAAGCGACAATTGAAGCATCCGGGACTTTGATTTCCTTCAGTGCCTATCTTATTTTTATTTGTACACATACTAAACATTGCCGACATAAGCTAATGCTGCTGCTTGTGTCATTTGACTTTATACTTGCATTATACTTTGTCAGTTCAAAATTTGACTTACATTTTGTTTGTTTTTTTAAGGTCATAGACGCCATCGTCTGCATCACGGAGAGGAGCAACGAATTAGTCCGAAAAGACATGGAAGAGAAATCAACATTCCTCCACAGTTTCAGAGTTATGTCGCCGACAATCGGGGTGGAGATGGTTTCAGCTTTACACCAATCCAGGTATGTGACTACGCACATATATAAAATTCTGATAAAAATACTACGTTTTGTTAAAATTATGATTTTTCTAATTTAGCCTGAAGAGAAATCCATGCACCAAAATTTACACAAGCCTGATTTCGTTGACTGTGGTAGTTATCGTCCTTCTATTCCTGAAGGCGAACCAGTTGATACTCCCGTGATTCAGGTACGAGCAAACTAATTGACAGTTGTCACTTGCCAGGAAGAATTAAATGCGAGGTTCCACAATTGATATCTCCATGTATTGTTTTATAGGTCAAGGCCTTAGATCAAGATCCCCCAGAATCGGGGGGTACGGTAACGTATTCCATCGTATCCGGAAATGAAATGCTGGCTGATTTTGCAGTCGATGAGCATACAGGATGGATCTCAACAAGAAAAGTATGAATGAAGAATATTGCTAATTTTACCATATTTGCTTGTATGCACACACACTTTACCAATAATTTATTTATAACATTACTACAGATTTTTGACCGTGATGAGCCAGCTAAAGAAAAGGAAGTTTATGTCACCGTACAAGCTTCCGATAATGGAAATCCTCGATTAGACGCTGTTTGTACCCTTAAAGTGAAAATTACGGATATTAACGACAACACTGGTAATACATCCGGAGTTTATTACGTAATTGTATAATTGTAATGAGAAATGCATCTCATTGTGATCCCACCTGCATATCATTATCTCAATGTGCCTCAAGTTAATAGCATAAAAAACAGCAAAATTAATGAACCCAATTTCTTTTTGTTTCGTTACAGCTCAATTCCTTTTGTCCAGGTCAGCAAACTTGTATTACTATTTATCAAATACGCATTTTCTTCATCAAATACCGACATATTGTACATATTGTGATGTAAAATCTACACAAACCAATTTATATTTACAGGAGATTCAATCAAGGCTCGTACGTTCCAGAGCATGAGTACAATCCCCACTTGGACAAATATGTAAGTACTCCAATCATTTCTTTTATTTGATCAAAAACTTGTAATACTACTTGTAAGTCATACATATTTCTACAAAGTTGCTAATGTCACTAATTCTTTCATGCTTACGTGGTAAGACTGTTTATGTGAAAAGACGCAAGGTACATTTAAAGTGAACAAGTTATAACCAAGTTTTTTTTAAGTTATTCTGATTAAAGTTTATTTGGAGTTTTGATTTATTTAAAACGCAAATGATTTACAATTATAGTCAATTAATTTCGTTTTGCTTTTATTGTCAGGAGTACAAAGAATCAATGCCTCAGGATTTAGCATTAGGTCAAGTCGTAATGAGGATCTCAGGTGGGTAATCCTTAAATTAATTTCAAATTGTTTGGCTACTTAATATTCACTGGTACTTTTAAAAACACAGCCACTGATATTGATGACGGAAACAACGGAACGGTTGTCTACGCATGGTAAGTTGGCAGTAAATTCTAATTGCATGTACATATTTTACAATATTTTTTTCTTTGGACAGTGAACCTCATCCTCAAAATCCAAACGATGTGGAGTTTTTTGACATTTCATCAGCATCAGGAGAAATTACATTGAAGAAACGAATCGGGGTACGACTTTTGTAATTACATGGTCTCTATTGGGCGGTTTAATAATAATCATTAATATTTTTTAATTTCAGAACCAGCAAAAATTTCAGTTGAGAATTGTTGCATCCGACTTGGGAGTCCCTCCAAATAGTAATTTTTCTTTAAATACATGCTCATTTATGAATGAAGTTATCAGTGAGAACGATTTTTTATAGGTGCCATAACAGATTTGTCAATTGTCGTGGCTGAACCATCTCAGCGGCCACCCGAATTCATTAATCCACCAACACTTATCCACTTGGACGAATACATTTACAATTTGTCTGTTCCTGTTGCAACCTTATCAGCTAGGTATGCACTTTTTATTGCCCTCGTCCATTTATATACCCTGCAATTTGTATACAAAATCCGCATCCTTGTTGTAGATCGAACGCGGATGACGAGCTTGTTTTCTTCGAGTTGGTAAATGGTCAGACTCAGCCAACGAACAAAGAAGCAATCTTTACTCTTGAGACTGAGGGTAGAAATACGGCCCATATTAAACTTGACCGTCAGCTCGATTATGAATCCACTACTAGATATACACTAACCATTCGTGCACAGGTACTGATTTTTACATTTGTACTGATTTTTACAAGATATGTTGATAAGAATATGTACATAAATCTGTAATTGCATTTTCAGAACAAGTACAATTTAGCAGCAGAGACATTGCTAACGGTTATGGTCAATGATAAAAACGACGAGAAGGTGAGGTTTTGAATAACATTGACTGTTGACATGAAGAAACTTTGAACATTTTTATGTTTTTTAATATTTTAGCCATATTTTACTGAAGTCACGACGGGAACTGTTTTGGAAAATGAACCAATTGGCACGTCTGTCATGAGGGTTCGAGCTATTGACACTGATGGTACAGCTCCAAACAACGAAGTCACCTATCATTTAAAGAGTGACGAGGAGGACAACTTCAGTATCGACGCAATATCAGGAGAAATTAAGACAAGGTTATTTTATTTTTTTATTTTATTAGCACCAGTCGCATGTAAAGTCGCATGTAAATAAAAAAAGACAACAGTTTTGCAAGATGCTTTAGAATGATAATAAAACAAAACAATGAAGTGAGTTCATCTTCTTCAGAATGGAACGAATAAATAAATGGAGAAAACTAGACTAAAACTAAATACGATTTAACGGATGCGAATAAAAAAGTTAACTGTAAATAAATAACTTTCTTTAAGAAATAACAATAACATCCCTCGTTTTCTGTGCCGACGTCAAGAGTCTTTCCTTGAAGAAGAAGGGCGCATTTGCTTTCCAGAGAAATTCTTGATCTCCTTCCGCACGATATTCCTTCTTTGCAGAAAAGTCGAAAATTGAGGCTTGTTTCGCCAGCCGTTGTGCGTTCTTTATAGATTTCTCATCCAAGGGTTCCCTCTTCTTGTTGATCAGGAACTGGCGCATTCCTTGGAAGGGATGAATTTCTCGAGAAAAGCCAAATTCCTACAACTCATAATAAAATAACTATTAGTGTAATCAATTGTGATACTTAATCGATATTTCTAAAAACAGGTAAAACTACTCACAATTATAAATGCTTCCAGTTTAGAAGCAAATGCTTCAGAGTCCGTCACGAGTTGACGAAGTTTTTCTCCACTTGCTGTTTTAATACAGCCCACGTTGCAATTGATAATGAAAGTTGTAAAGCCAACTGATCCTTCATTTTCCTCCAGGAATTCAAAACAAGCTCCCTCATACTTGTGTCCTGGTCTTGACTTTTGCCCTCCGCCGTACTTGCCTACATAAATCCCCATTTTCTTGGTCTTATCATCTTCTGCAGCACGGACGATTTTCTCGATCTCTCCCAGTGTCTTCCCTTTGACTTGCTCCCAGTCAAAGAACGTGTTGATGTAGACGCAATAGTCTTTTTTCTTGAGAAAGGTGTCTGAAACGAATTCTGGGAACTCCTTCTGAAGATCATTCAAAGTCAACGACTTTACATACTCTTCAAAGGACCTGTAATAAATTAGTGTGAATTATTTCTCAAGAAATACAAAGTATTAACTATATAAATTAGTGTAACTCACACTCCTGCGTGCAAAAGTCCAACGTTTGGGTGAAGGTCCAACCACTCGAGCAAAGCGTTGTCGTCAAGTTTGGTCGTGTGCAGAGGAAGACCATTTTCAACGCGCATCCTGTGACCATACAAATAAACTTGTACTATATATTATGTACTCAATTTCTAAAGAAAAATTACCTGTTGTATTCATATGACTTGGCTTTGATCCGGTTCCTATAATTTTTAGAACAAGTTTTATTTTTTGTTTTGAAAAACTGGAAAAAGAAAGTGTTTAAAGAAAGTGTTTACCTGAAATTTTCATCAGTCCGGTATTTTTCTCTGTCTTTCTCGTTCCTTTTCTTTCTATCAATTACACAATAAAACCATTTACATAAACAATTAAATTTTATCAAGAAAAATTCACTTACTTGAATTCATCCGTGGACTGTCGTTCTCGGCGTAGTTGTCTATGCAAACATATCATAAAAAAAATTACCATTTTTCTGTAGACACAAATTGACTTACTTAGCTTCCTCTGAATTTTGTTGTGCCAGACGTTTCTCTCTGTCCAGTTATATTCAACAATGAGAACTTACTTTGCCAAATTTGATTAGTTAAATGTTTATATCAAAATTCACTTACCTATATTCATCAGTAGTAACTAACTCGCGTCGTCTCACCTTACAAAATCGTGTTAAAAAAATGCATCCAAAATATTAATATTTAATTTTCTCTAGAAAAGTTTAAGCACTTTCCGTCGAGTACCATACCTTTACGTCTTCTCTATACAAGGAAAATAATAAATAAGAGTATGTTTTTATACTTTTTTAGTATGATGCTATCTACAAATCACTTACTTAGCATTGTATATTTTCTGCCGTGTTAATGTTTTAGTTCTAAAGAGATTACGAAGTTGATTTAAATACTGAGAGTTGATATGAATGATTAAATAAATATTGGACACTACCTATTAGCAGGTTTCGCATAACTAAGCCTTTTTCGCTCATTTTCCTTAAGCCTGATTTGGAAAATAAAAATAAACACTATTTAGATATTTCTCAAGAAATTAAAAACTATTACTTCTTACCGTTTAGTAGTGTCAAAAGGGCTTTCGCCAGGTTTTGGGTCCGTGGATACTTTTCTTCCTTTCCTAAAGATAATAAGATTGATGGTTTCTAACGTCAGCGACAACAATTAAGTCCAACTATGTATTTCTAAAAGAAAAGTTTAAATAAGCTTACGCCATGATCAACAATTATTGTAATAATTAGTTGGAACGCAATAATTAAACTTAAAAAGAGGGATGATGATGTTCCTACCCGTGGCTGATTTGCTTGCATGAAAAGTTAGTAATCAGAATGTAAGCAAACGTTTAATAAATGTTGAGATGCAAAAAATCTTTATTTGCCCCGTAACCGCCAAATCTCACTTTCATCGCTCTCTCACAAATATTGTTGCAAATCATTTTTTTTATTTGTAAATAATTAATTGTTGATGAAACCATAGACTGTCATATTTTTACAGAAAAATGTTTGATCGAGAAGAAAAGGATACTTATCAGGTCATAGTCTATGCGAAAGACGGTGCCCCTTCAGTCAAATTGAACAATGGACAACCAAATGAACGTAAGCGGATATACACTACATTTACATATTTAATATTGGAGGAATAACCCTAAAACTTTTATTTATAGGGCCACAAACACTGAAAATCGTAATTGCGGATAAAAATGATAACGGGGTAAGTATAACAATTTCATCTTTGATTATTTATATTGCTGGGTAATTTAAATATTCTAATTAATTTTTATTTTATTTAGCCCGTCTTTGTAAGAGACTTGTACGAAGCTGAAATGAGCGAGGATGCGGATTTAAACCGAGTCGTCGTCGAAGTGAGGGCAAAGGATGCGGATACAGGTATGAAGATATCCACTGAATTTGGTATATTTTGGATGAAATGTTTTTCATGTATTAATTATTTTCCTGCGATTTAGCTTCCGTGCTTCAGTACACCATCACAGAAGGAAATATTGACGACGCTTTTGCCATCAGAAGTACAAGTACTAGCGGAGTTATCACAGTTAAAAATAAGTTGGATTTTGAAAGTATAAGACAGGTAAATATGTATACTTATGACGAATCGTTTAATGTCGTTTGATGTCCTTCAAGGTATTAACTTTGAATGATATTTGAACTTTAGTATGAATTGACGGTACGTGTTTCTGACTCTGTTCATGAAGCAAAGACAAAAGTCAAAATTTACATCCAAAATGTTAATGACGAGTAAGTGATAAAATTTTCTAGACTACAAGGAGAGTTGTAACACATATTTAATGATATATAATTCTTTGTATAGGCCTCCAAAATTTGAACCGATGAATTCCAATACGACAATTGTTGAAGAATTTATTCCATCCGATTGCATTTTCCGAGTTAAAGCTTACGATCCAGACATTGGCGACCGAACTGTACCCCAAAACATCTCATATTTCATATTGACTGGAAAAGAGCACTTCAGTGTTGGACCGGATGACGGTTGCGTCAAAGTGATTAAACCTTTGGACAGAGAAGATAAACCTTTCTACCAAATGGTGGTTGGCGCATCCGATGAATGGGGATTGGCTCCTACAAAATTGGATTTCTACAAGGAATTGATTGTTAATTTAATCGACATTAATGACAATGCTCCTGTTCTGTCTTCACAAAATCCCGTTGTATGGAATGAAAACCAACCTCGTGGTCCTATTACGCAACTTGATGCAACCGATGCCGACAGTCCTGAGAATGGGCCCCCGTTCACGTTTTCAATAGATCCCAAGGCTGACATGAAAATTAAAGAACTATTTTCTATTGAAGGTATGTACATACATGCTGGATGACATCCATAATTTATTTTGATGCCTTGTTGTTTCATTGTTTTAAAATGTGTGGATTTATTTTCTACTCACAGGAAAAACTTTGAAGGCAAACAAGGATGATTTCGATCGTGAAGAGGTGAAGCAGTACGTGGTGCCAATCGCAATCAGTGACAGTGGGAGAGAGAGGAAAACCGGAACCAGTTATCTCACCGTTATCATTGGTGACCAAAACGACAACGACATGCAGGACGGAGAAAGCCGAATCTTTGTCTACAAGTACAAAGAAAGGAACCCATTCCCAATTGGACGAGTCTATGTAAAAGGTATTGGACACGTTTAACATATAAGTATATCAATCACCGAAACGTTTAACATCAATTTCAAATGTAAATTAATCTCCTAGACCCGGATGACTGGGACTTGCCTGACAAGACCTTCACATTGACCACCTCCAACTCGCATTTCACTGTGGATTCTGATACTGGATATATTAACATGAAATCTACTGCTGAACCCAGTGACCACGTTTTGACGTTCAAGGTATTTATATAACTTGATTGAGATTTAGTTTAAATTGAACATTTCTAAAAGTTGTGGTTTGCATTTCTAGGTGGAAGACAGTAGATGGGGAAGTACTGTAAATGCAAAAGTCACTGTTACAGTAAAGGAAATAACTGATGAAGCTGTTGATAATTCTGGATCTATTCGATTCATGGGAACAACCAAAGAACAATTCATCAAAGTAGACCGAACTACTGTAAGTTATTAAATCACAGCAATTTATTTATAGCTACTGCGATATATTTAATACGATATTACTATATTGTTGAACCAGTCAAGTATTTGGTCATTTTACACAATATTAACATTATTTAACAGGGATTGAGTAAAAAGGATAAATTGCAACGCGAACTTGCTAGAATATTCGAAGTTCCGATTGAAAATGTCGATGTCTTCACCGTTGGCAATTCTCCATCAATCTCAGACATGAACTTTTTTGATGTGAGATATTCCGTCCACAACTCACCTTACTGGAAAGCTGAAAAACTGAATGGAAAACTCGCAGAGTCTAAGGATCTGGTAATTAATGAAATGTTATATTCTGATGATTGTATTTATGTAATTGTGACTATTCTCTTTTATCACGATTAGTTGGAAAAACACTTGGAACTGAACATTGTTATGATTGGAATTGATGAATGCTTGAAGGGTAAGTTTCACAACTTTACACTAAACTCAGGTCAATCATGGTATACAAATAATAATAACATATTTATTACATTTGACAGAAAAACACTTTTGTGAATCGTCATGTTCAAACACTTTGGCCAAGAGTGACATTCCATTAAAAATTTTCACCAATGAGACATCATTTGTTGGTGTTCATGCATTTGTCCAACCTGTCTGCAACTGCTCCTCATTCCAGCCACCAAATAATTGTTTACCCAATCCATGTCTCAACAATGGAATATGTACAAGTGGTGGAGGATTGGATGGATTCAAGTATGTTTTAATAATCCAAAGATATTTATTGTAATAGGCTTGTGTTTTTGCATTTTTTACATAATTATATTTCCAGATGTGAATGCGATGCTCCATTTGATGGACCTCGTTGCGAAATTACATCCATTGCCTTGGACGGAGTAGGGTTTGCGTGGTTCCCATCTCTCACGGTTAGCGCTTTTACTTATTTTTAGTTTTATCAACTTTTTTTTTACTAAATAATTGAAACTTTACTTTTATTGAATTAGGTTTGTAATGACTCGAGTCTTCAAGTGGAATTTATGGCGTCAAAAAGTGGTCTCATCTTTTACAACGGCCCAATTTACCAGTCGTCTGTCACTGGTGCGCGTTCAGCATAAAAATTGTCGCGTATTTTTTAGTGGATGAAAATATTTAATTGTCCTCTTTTGTAGACTTTATGTCGTTGGAACTGAGGGATGGAAAGCCTATGCTTTTAATGGATTATGGAACCGGTGTCAGCAGATTAGAAATTGAGCATTCCCCAATGCTTGCGGATGGATTGTCTCATAAAGTGCACATCACATGGAATCCTTCGGTACTATTTCTGATATACTCTCATCAGCTTTATACTGAATATTATAGAGTAAAATTTAATGCATGATATTATCTGTAGGCCATTTCCATGCGGGTTGATGAGTGTCGAAAAAATGAACCTACTTGCTACCGAACTGCTCGACCAACTGGGACAAATTCTCAACTGAATGTCAATGGACCATTCCAATTGGGTGGCATTTCATTTGATCCAAAAAGACTACAGAATTCCATGAAATGGTCACAAATACCCTCGAAAGAGTTTTTCCAAGGATGCATTGCCAATTTAACGTTCAATGGAGAGGTATGCAACCCGACTACATATACATATTTATGCATATAGATTTCCTAACAGTTGATTGATTAAATTTTGTGTGATTCGCAGTATGTTAATTTGGGCAACCCAAGCTACTCAACTTTAAATGTTACTACTTGTGATTCGCCAATCGCTGGTGTCATTAAAGCGACGCTAGGAGTCGACTACAATTTCATAATCATTCTTCTTATCTGCATCCTGGTCTTAATCCTCTTGGTCCTTGCAATTGTCTTTTACCGGAAAAAGCGAAATTATGAAGAAGTTAAGGGTGAACTCGGGGATGACGTGCGAGAAAATATTATCAACTATTCTGACGAAGGGGGTGGTGAAGGAGATCAGACGGGGTATGATCTATCAGTTCTAATGAAGCCTGCCAATGGGCCAACTTACAATGGAGATAAAATTCCAATGGAGAGTTTACAACCTGTTGGCCGCAGTAAGTTTTCTTCGAATTATGGCTTTTTTTAAAATAATTACAGACATGTAAAATGCATATATTAACCATACGTTTGACCTCAGTTCCAGACAATGGGGACGGCCCAGACATTTCGAGCTTTTTACATGGAAATAAACAGAAGGTGGACAACGACCCTGACGGTCTGCCATACGACGATGTCAGAAATTATGCATACGAAGGAGATGGAAATTCCATAGGCTCCTTATCTTCACTCGCGTCAGGAACTAGTGAAGACAACGACTTAAATTTCGATTACCTACCAACTTTTGGTCCTAGGTTTAAGAAATTGGCCGATATGTATGGCGGCGGACAATCTAGTGATGACGAGAGTTATACCGGCCCTCCCCCCGAAGCGTGGTGTTAGCATATGTATAAGTAATTTAGCATTTTAAGTACATTCATCAAGACCAAACTACATATAAATAATAAGCAACATTGAAGCCCAGCCAGCCATAATATTATGATCTATACATATAACCAAGTATTTCCATCATCTTTTTGTTCATGTCATTGAGTATACTAGACTATTCTTGTTGTCCTATCGCCTTATACAATGGAACAAAATATTTTGTAAATTATTGTATTTTCCAAAACTTCGGCCTGCTCAAATTCAACCAGTTTGACTTAGGTTTCCTGCTGAGGCGTGCACTTTGTACAAACCTCGAGTTCCAAATACTTTCCATAAAAAAACCATCGATACCACCACAACGGCAACTTTCTACACACTTGACAGTATGTACTTATATATAACGTTATTCATTAGTCTTAATATTTTATATACCTTCTTGTGTCACATATTAAACGTATAAATACATAAATTATTAAGATGCCTCTTGCAATGAAGTCATTAATCAAGTAAGTGGGTGGTACTAGATTACATAATATATATATTTATGTTTATGTAGGTGTAGTTTAGTATGTAGGCATTGCAATGGACAAACTCACTTGTATTTTTATATGCTGTTTCAATATGCCTATAAACAGATTAGTTTTAATATTTATTCCGCTATGGTCTCATCTTATTTGTGGTGATGATGAGGGTTGAATATCTTTAACTGTGCAATCCGCGTGTGAAGCAAATTGTCCTTATTAGCGTCGAAACTAAATATTTCGACGCCTTTTCTGGACAAGAAAGTACAGAGAAAGGAGTCGTCGGTACGTAAGGCTCCCGACTGCTGTTCTGTAACCACAATCATAGTCAAGACTGAACATCATTCCAATCCAGTTTTCAGAACTTCGTCCTACCCATGTTGTTCATAATAATATATGTATGGAATAAAAGGCACACATAAATACGCAACAATAGAAATGTTGGTATGATACCAATATATACAATATATACATAGCTTACACTACTATTGTTATGTGTTCTTGTACCTTGAATTTGTAGATGGCAAGCCAGACTTATGAGGTGTCATGTTAATGCATAATTTGTTAATTTATGACAATTACTAGAATGTTTGAGTATTCGGTTACATAATGATTTACAGATTTTTAAGCCAACTGAATTTATTAAATAAATAACGAAATGATACATATTTGCATGTCCGTTAATTGTTTGATCTTGATTTTGCATATACTACATAGCTTCACCTCTATAGACAACAATGTTCTTTTCAGTTTCCCAAATTTTGACTTCATACAGAATCGAAGGGTTAGAAAGATGTCGTTTCAACTCATCCCAAACAAACATGGCAATATTTTCCGTCGTGCTCACTCTCTTCGTAGTGGCAAAGAATGGAACGTCTTTGTCTATATTTTTGTGGTCCAACGTCTCCATTATTGCTTTGTTCATCACTATCTTCAGGTCTGAGATGTTTATTACCATACCAATGATGGGATCAATTGGGCCTTTTACCGTGACTTCAACTATGCAAATCACATACAACATTTGTTACTATTACGGTTCATTGCATATATCAAGCTGTATGCACATAGATATTTCCTGTGAACTAACCCACATAATTGTGCCCATGTCCATTGGGATTGTTACATTTTGAGTAAATCTCCAGATTTTGTTCAGTGCTAAGCTGTTCGCTTTAAATATGCAAATCGAATATGAAAATGGGAATTCGAGATCGTGCACAATTAATTATTGTTATTTGTGTTACTGACCTGTGCAATCTGTGGCAAGCACTAAAGCACTCTCTTCGTGTAAGATAGGCGACAGGCACAGCAGCCATTTAAAGTTAAATTAACAAAAAGTGTACGTGTTTTGATGTAACAGGTGCTTTCACCCCCTTCAATTTTGCAACTTTCTCCTCCCGGGTAAAAGTCTGTCCCGGATCGATAAATGCAGTAGAGCTTTGTCAAATATCTTTTTACAGGGCAATTTTTATCTACAATTTGAAAATCAGTCAGAAATAAAATCAAAAAAGTTTATTCCGCTAAAGCCAAGACCATTTATGCGTCTATGTACAACTGGCTGGAGATGCATGATTAGTAGATTGCCTTGAATCAACTCATGGTTAGAAGCACAATGCTTTTGTGCACTTGAACCTGACTGCAACGTGGTAGAGGTGACAGAGGAGTCTGACATTTTGTGTCTGAATCTCAAAGTAAAAGGGATCCAACAGACTTTCGGTTTAAAGCTCTTCTTATCTATTTGAGACATAGTTTCTAAAAATGAAACTGGATTCGATATGAGAATATTGTTACCGTTGCTTTGTCCCATTGACCGATTTTTCATGACATACCGCTAGCATGAAACCGATACAAAAATATCCGGATCCTTCATTTCATGAGTTACATACGACTAACAGTAATTTCAAGAGCAGGAATTTATTAAAAGGGTCTCTGAATAGAATCTGGACTCCTATTTAAAGAGCTGTACGCAGAATTTTATTTGTAGTGCTTTACAAACCAACGAACTGAATTGTTAGTTAATTCATAATTTTCCAAATTTTGCTAGAATCATGCATCTTAAACACATAGTAATTTTATCCGCATTATGCTTTTCTCAATTTCTAAAGCAAACAGAGGCGCAAGGAACAGGTTTATTAGAACGATATTATAAGCAGTATTTCAAGGACTATTATCCATCCACTGTTCGCTCATACACTTTGGTAAGATATTGGCTACCTGCTGTAAAATAGTAAAAATCGTAATCCATAATTATGGGTAAGTTTTAATAAGTTTGTATGATGTAACTTTCAGTATGGAAAAGGTCAGAATGGAGCCGTTGATTTCCAAGGAGGATTGCCGTACCCGTACGAAAAAAGCGGTCCCGTCCATCCATGTGAGTATTTAGATTTTACAGTGATCCCTGTGATGACATTTAGGCAAAGTTATTTTATACGTATCAAAATAATTTCTAGTGGTATTTACGGCGATCACATATCCTCCACCGACCCATGGCCCTAATCCCTACAAAGCCTCAAAGAGGTTGACAACTGCGGAGGATGTATCTTGGGAATATCCTGACCCCAATCCCCTCTCAAAATCCCCCCAAGCTGCCGGTCAACAACCATCCCAGCCCTCTTTTCAACAACAACAATGGGGTCCCGACAAGGACGTCATTCTCGGACCAGAGCCCATTGCAGAAAGTCGAATGGTCGAGGACGGACCGGAAATTCCAATGAGCAATGTCAACTTCAACGGGGATGGACACGCAGAAATCTCAATGCAATCGACAATGTCGTTTTAGAGTCTATTCAAGTTTATTCACATCGTAGAATTACAGATGCAAACAAATCTATATTTATCTAGGCAGCAGGGTAGAACATTTAATATGAATACAAAATGCATTATGCATAATCCAGAAACATAAAAAATAAAATATTATACGTAAATGTAACGTCTTTGAGAAAGTACAGTTGACACAAGATACTGCTTGATTTACACGTATCATAAAAAATATATCAGATCTGTTTCATAACAATTCTTGATCATCAAAAATCCCAGTCCCATCCACTTCTGTCATCTGGGGGAGTCACACTGCGGTCAGGAGGATACTCATCAAAATTTCCTGCGTCATGGGGGCCTTTAACGCAGGGAATGATGGGGGGAGCCAAACTCTTTGACCTCAGTCCATTCCAGTCAAGACCGTCAAACCACCTTAATTAAATCAAGCATGCTTTAAAACCCAGAAAGTCATAAACATTTGAGGTAGTATTTACTAACTTGTGTCGCTTTATTTCACTGAGGCCACGATTTGCACCAAGTCGATCTTCTGGATTCTCTCGGCACAGTTTTCTTATCAAACTGTACGATTGTTTGGTAATAGTTTCTGGAAAGTCGAGGAAATCAATCCCCTTGAGAATGAGCTTGTATGTGCGCATAGGGTCTCCACCTTTGACAGAAATTTTAAGTCAAATAAGTAAGCGACGCTTAATAAATATGTATGTGCTACAGAATCAAGACATAATAACTGTTTACTAACCGACAAAAGGGGGGCTGCCAGTCAAAAGTTCATACATTAGAACACCAAGGGACCAGTAATCGGCCGGTATTCCGTGACCTTTATTTAATATGACCTCAGGAGCAACATATTCGGGCGTCCCACAAAAAGTCCAGGTTTTGCTCGTCTAAATAATTTCGTACGAAATACAAAATACCATACTTCTTGACCACTACTTAATCTTATATAAATAAAATATTTTTTTACCTCTAGTCGTTTAGCAAATCCAAAATCAACTAATTTAAGATATCCTTTAGAGTCCAGGAGTAAATTTTCTGGCTTCAAGTCTCGATAAATTATATTTCTAGCATGAAGGTATTTTAATGCTTCGAGCACACATCCAACATAAAATCTGTAAGCGCATGATAGTGTTATTAAATATATGACATCGGAAATATGACCTTAAACGGTTTACCGTGTGGTTGTGTCATTAAAATGGCCCCTGTCCCGAAGAATACTCCAAAGTTCTCCACCAAGACAACACTCCATTAGCATGTACAAATACTTGTCATCTTTAAAAGTTTTGTGTAGTTTGGTTATGAAGTCAGAGTTTGTTTCCATTAGGATTCTTTTTTCTGATTTTATGTGCTCCACTTGACGTGTCGCAACGATCTGTATGACAATGAGTAATAATTTGCAGGTTGGCAAAATTGTGTAATTACTCCCAATTCCCATCGTCGCATTTTTTATGCACACACTTGTGAGATTATATTCCATTTTATTAGTTAACCTTAATTACCTGGCATTTTTTCATCTGTTTCAATGCAAATGATTGACTCTGGTCAGAGGCTAAAGTGACTAATTCTACCCTTCCAAACCCTCCAATACCAAGTGTAGATATTAAGCGTAAATCTTCAAGCTCGATTCTTTCAAAATATTCGTTTCTATAAAAAAACATAACGTAGTTATCGTTAGCCAAATATTCTGTACCGCAGATATTATAAGCATGCGTCTTTACATGGATATTTTCAACTCACACAAACGTTTTTCGACTTGTATCACTAAATCGCTTAGAGAATTCAGTACTTTTTGCCATAAGTTGAGAGAATCCGTCCTCATTAATTACCAGACTTGTAGCAGTCTCATCTGTCGTCATCACATTCATCATATTCACTCTTTCCCTGCAACACATCAATTTCAGAATTACTTTTAGTTAAGAAAGTGATAATTACAGAAGACTTTTGTATTGACAAACAATGGCAATAACCAACGAGTTTAACATCAAATGTGATTCCTGATATGCCGACTTATATCCATACCCATTCTACTTGATATACTCATAAATATTTTGCAGGTGAATATCACTTTGTTAATTTCCCATTGTGTAGCATATCGCATCTTAATGGCTTCGTCGGTGTTGACTCACCCCTGAAGAGATTCTCCAAAGATATCGCCCGGATGCAATGTTTTCAGATAAACCTCCTCCCCATTCAGATTAGACAGAAAGGTAACCTTAGCCTACATTCAAAAACAACAATGCAGGTTAGAGTTGTTGATTGACAATAACGTGTTGTTGCGGAAATAAGGGGCAGGCAAGGGAGGTGGATAATGGGTAAAAAAGCATTCATGGGAACTGTGTCACTCTCCATAATTGGCAAATTTGCAACGCAATACAAGTAACACACAGAGGAGGTGAGATGCTTATTAATTGGATTTCGTTGAGAGGTGCAATGAATCATAAAATAGTAGAATAAGTAATTTTTGCTTAATTCGCTTGTTATCCGCTTACCGTTCCTGACATTAAAATGAACAAGCCTTCCGCTCGACTTCCTTGGCGTATAAGATATTCCCCGCAATCGTAACTGACCTGGATTTAATATCACAGAATAAATGACGTTTGAATTAATAAAATGCATATTAATTTCCCTCTCGCACATGGTTCTAATAAATAAAATTTCATTTTTAAAGTTTTAATACATGAAGGGAAGTTTTTTCTTTCTCTTTTCATGTTTTATGAGATACGGAAATTAATCGATTTAAACCGAAGATAACCATCAAACATTGTAATTAACTTTACCTCGTTGACATGCTCACTCAATTTGGTGAGAAAGCTAGTGCTGAGTTTCCGAAACAATGGGATAACCTTCAACGACTCCACGATGCGCATTTGGTCACTTTTCCCTCTGTGGGCAGGAGGGACCGTGCCGTGTTTTGCCCACAAAGACCTGTTAAAGTTCAGGAGGCGTCTGCTGCTTCCTGTAAATCGAATTGATACAAATTATGAAAAGTAGCAGTGGAACATAAATCTTGAGAATTCTCTCGCGTTTTACTTTTGCATTTCGTGAATACCCCTTTTGAATTTCGTGAATTATTTATTTATCGAATTTTCCATCCTTCATTTTTATTATTTTTTCATTTCAAAACGACATAGAATAATTTTTAAGGCAGTTATCGAGAGGCAGACCGACGGCAGACACGACAATTTCGTAAGCCCTGACTCGGAGTAAAAAAATACACCGCAAAAATTGAAAGTGATTTACGCTGAGCAATAAAATAATTACCGTCACGATAGACATAACTCATGAAAAAAGTCTTTTATTCAAACTATCGGTCGATTCATTGAAAAATTGGGCAAATCTAAACTGTCACGTTGCCAATATTCATCCCATTATTCTTTGACCACAGAGATATACATTAAATAAACTCTCACGTAATAAAACCACGACATGAACAAAGAAAGACGAAATGATTTCTGTTTTCTATGCAAGTGCAACAAAGACGCAGAGTAACCTTTTAGCTCAACTTGGGATTAACTCGAGTTTTATCCTAGTTGGATTCGTTAGGATTAGTTAGGATTAGGATTCGTGCTTATGTAGCGTAACTCATAATTGTGGTACTGCACAAGGAATTACTTGGCAAGGGTATCAATATCACTTTCTAAACAAAGCATTATGTGCAAATATTTGTAATTCCGTCCTCTAGCTTAAATAAATCACGGCTGCGTACAGATGCTGCAATTTCGTATGATGATGAGATCTTAAATAAGTAAATAAATAACGCGTTAAAAAGTGCATTCACCAATTGTTAGATTGTGTTACGAAATAGGTATGACCTATACGTGAACTTTGCAGCATGATACCTGCAGCTTGATTCAATGATTTGTTTTTACTTAACCTCGTCTCATCTCATTAACTTCTCACGCAATATTACTCATTCATTATGTATTATGTATTTGTGGTGAATTGATTAATCTACTATCGCATCTGAATCAATTATGCAATTGTAATTGCAACCAAAGTAAAGGTCATGTTTGCATATTTTCATATTTTTGGCAAGGTTCAAATGACCATGAGGTTTCTGTTAGTTCAACCGATTGATTGACTGATTGATGGATTCAATTGTTTACATTCCAATCAAGTGACAAATTGCAATTTTACAAATAAGTATATTTGTATAATCATCGTAAAACAATGAATGTTTATTAAATACACATGTACATTCATAGAATTGTTTTGTGCTTTGTAGGCTCTTGACCCAAGCGAGATTCCTTTCTTTAGAGTGTCAGGCTGTCAGCATACAGCTTGTAACATGTAATTTATTTGCACTTAATCAAAACAAAAAAATATTTTCCAACCACGAAATTTGCAATTGCACATGTAAAGAAGTTATACATCGTTACGAGACAATTAGCAGATTAATTGCTGTACCCAACTTATCAGAAATTTTTGAATGATGTGCTTAAAATTATGCACTCTAGTTGAGCTACAAACCATTAGAAATATTAACATTATCGCAAATTAATGATCATTTCACCGACACGATTTCAAGCAAAATTTTATTATTTCTACACAGCTATGTAGACTATGCAAATTTTTAGCGGGTCAGGGTATAACTAAATTGTAGATGAATAATGTAGCCGTTTCCTTGAAGCGTGGTTAGAAAATCCCACTCATTATTACTCCTTGACTGAACGTTAAACTTTAAAGAACCAACCCTCAATTTAAAGTCTTGCATGTTTTGCTTCAGATTTTGACACAATTTCGTGTCTTGAGTAATCCGGCACATGACACAGTCATAACAATGACTTTTTATAATCATGACATGAAAATGGTATAATATTGAGCAAAATGCAAGTGAGCTATGTGACAATGAGCATGTTCGGCATACTATTACATGCTATTATTATTATGCCGCATGATGGTATGCAGTATGTACACACACCTAAATATGTTTGTGTGCTGTTCTTTTTGCTCGAATTTCCCATGATAACTACGTGACCTTTAGAACACCCAACCTTGCTCTGGACGAATGAAACTGCATCGATCATGGCTTTCAAAAATCTACATGTAAAGTGCGAAGGCATTTAGCTTTGTTAGTTTATCGGTACTTTAGCGCACTTCAATTTTAACCCTGCAGTAACAAAAACCTAATAATTTTATGGATAATTTTAATGTGTGATCTGGCACTAAAAATTTAATAACTGCGTTATTGTGAAAGTATTTTATGTTTATTGATCCACATGTATTAAATATTTTATGTATTGCTTGTGCCAGCCTTGTCTAGTAAAATTTACAAAGCGTTATATAAATAAAATCAATATAAATTAGCACATAACTTTTCCTGACCAAAAAGTATAATTCCTCAAATCTCTAATGGGGTTTCATAAGTAGGAACCTGGGCATACATAGAAAAATATCTAGTGCAATGAAATTGGCTACACTTTCCTTTAAACAGTACGCACTTTACCACGGTTTAAAGTTTCCTCATCTCTTTTCAATGCATATAGGAGCCAAGAAGCGCTCACTAATCCTGCTGCGTGTGATATGCATTTAAGTACCACACGGAATAAGCGGTGTCTGTCAGCCTGTGTAATTTGCTTTATTTTAGATGAATATACCAAGCAAGTTTGAAAGCAGACGTGATGCTCGTTCAGAGAGAAGAATACTATTTTAGCGTAAAAATGCATGTAACCACTTGTGTAAGAGTTGTTCAATCATTTGTTTTCCATGTTATTATGACAAATTATGTATTGGGAATTATCACATTGTTGTAAGTTTTAAATTCAACAGGCTGTTGTGGATTTGAATCTGCGACGAAAAAAGTAATCACAGGCAGACACATGTAAAATGTGTTCATTCAAAGAATCAGTTTTTCACATGGCAGATGCGATACACACATCTTTTTCCCAGCCTAGAGTGGAGTTAATATTCTTCTTTTTGATTAGGCAGTATCTCGGGAAAACATTTAATCGAACCCATGCATTCGCTATATGTGTTGGCATTGAGCAACTCTTCCAATCACTAGTTTTTAGAATTTTTGTTATGACGAAATTCCTGTAATTTGTGTCTTGCTTCATTCAATTAACTCATAAAATATGTATGCATTATGAAGATACAATACACACATTCGTCACACTATAATGAATTAATTTCGAAAATAAATTCTTAAGTCTTAGACTTGGAAGCTATAATTTTATGAGGTGTTTTACATAATTTTACTAGTGCGCACTAAATTCTACTTGTGGTATTGGTGTAAGTACTTGACTTGTTGTTTGTGTGCGGAATGTCAAGTTTCCCTTTCAACGCAAACAACCAACGAAAATAAAGATAAACCATAATTTGACTCTCTAAACGGTAGTTTTACTTGAAACCAATAGTTTAAAAAATGAAACTGAATCAGTAGGCGAAACTGTCAGAGATGGTATCATAATGTAATAATGACACACTCTCATATTTAAAAGATCTCTTGTCATTCACGGTTTCACCACAAACTAAGTCATAATATTTTCATATTCTTCATATCTTTAAACTTAAATATGCATGCGTTTCCTTAAATACTCTTCAATTTACTTTACTCGGCGTTATCTAAATGTCTAAATGCATAAATATACACACACATGCTAATTAACTTGGGGGAGTTGAACGTTGAAAAACAAGTTAAAGTTGCCACTTACCATTTACAAGGGACAACTCCTGCTCTCTCTCAAACTCGGAGAGCGTGTCCTCACTGGAATTCTCAGATCTGAACTTTGATGATTTGGAGGACTGGGAACCACTCCCACTTCCATACGCCGTATCATCCGCCTCGTTTTCATTGTCTGACAAGGAAATCTCTGTAAACCCTGAAGCGTCCACAATGTCTATTTTCCTCCCTAAATTTTTCATGGTCATGGTGCTACTGACCCCATACGAATGTGTAGGAATCACAAACTTGAGCTTTGGTCTTGGAATTCTGCAGTCGTAAAAAGAATGGTATTCATCGTCAAGAAATTCCATACTCTTCTGCACTGCATAGCCACTCTTTTGCTGTCTGATTGTGTGATAATTGGCCATTGTTACACTTTTATTTTTATCGCTACCACCACTCTCCACAACCTGTTGGACACCGTTTGCCTCCTCCTTACGTTTGTTGTAATTGTGATAAAGCTTATGTTTACTTGCATCACCACCACCACCACTTCTGCCACTACCTCCTATAATAGTACGGCCTTGATGATGATGTTCTTTGTCTTTCTGATTATCATGAGCGTTTGCGACGATTACTTTGGGTTTATTTCCCTGATTGCTGTTAATCGTATTGTTGGAGGAGGATGGAGATTTGGATTGATTTTGACGTCGTAGACTAAGGAAATCTGGATGATCTTGTTTTTTGAGGAGAGGAATGGAATTCTCAGCAGTTGGCAGTCTGGTGTATTTTCCATAAGAGTAAATGTCCTCGGAATTCATCTCAAGCCATGACCTTTGTTCATAGCTGCCATAATGTTTCTTGCCACTTACTCTGTCTTCTTCCCGTCGTCTCTGCAACGTGGTGTATGTTTTGGGAGTAGGAGAGAAATCTGGAGGCTGTGCAACACCTCCACAAGATTTGCACACCTCGACTGCGTTGTTGCTTTTTCGATTGCTCAAGAAATCAACATCCCGTTTAAACCCTCGCAACCATTTGGACACGTTGGACACGTTTGATCTATTTTGATCTGATATATTCAAATCACTTTTTTGCTTGATTTTCGCAGAAGCAGAATCATATTGATTGTGAAAACTGTTTTTTATATCGGCTGTTGCGTTAGAGTGGTTAGAACTGAATACGAATGACTTTGACTTGCTCAATAATTTCCTGAAACTTTTTGCTCGCTTAGGTTTCGTAAGAGTTTGCGACTGGAATAATGAGGGAGGAGTACTAGCAAATTCATCGAATTTCCTGTAATTTGTGGTTAAAATATTGCTACAACTTGCACTAATGGTGGTGACACTCGTGGGAATGTGAGACAAATTTTGACGCTGTTGTATAGGAATTAGTGGACTTGCTCGACTACTGAAATAGCAATGGCTTGAGTAGGAGGAAGTCGTTACTCCTGAATCATCGGATGACTTTGCCCCTGGTTTTATGATCTGAAGGTCAGTTGTACTCAAGGACCCAGCCACTCTCCCTGCTTCTCTGGCAGAAGACGTCGGTGTCTGCTTTAAGGGATGAACTTGAGGGTCCTGCTGGTCCTTATTTATCTGAAACCTGATGCGATACTGCTCCTTCTTCTTGGACTTTTTGAGAAAAGAACTTCTTCCTGGCACTCCACCACCAGTCCCGGAATTGGTCGCTTCCTGCCTAATCGCAGCAAACCCTTTTTGTCGCTGGTGTGATGGTGATGATGTTCCTTCTGGAGATGTTGTATAACATGTAAATTCTGTGTCAGATTCACTCTCACTGCAACTGCAAATACTACTGGTCTCACTGCTGTACGTTGTATCACTGCAACTGCATCCACCACTTCTTTGGAAAGAGCAGTCTGATGAATACTGATGATCCTTCTTGTTATGCTGGAATGAATTGTTGTTGTTGTGATGACGAGGATTAGCAGAACGAAGGTGTTGCAATTGGTGCAGTGAGGTAACAGAAGCAGAATTATTATTATTGCTCGTATTATTGGAGGTGGAAGGAGCAGGAGACCACGGTCTCAAAGATCCATTTGCAGACTCTGGCAGACCTACGATTTCTTGAGTGGTTACCATCATGCACTATGTCTTTTGGGAGAAGCGATAAAAAGCAAAAATCCTACTTAATCTCAACGCAATTTTTTTGCACGTTTTATTACACAACCTGTTGAGCTGCACCAATGTTCTATCTTGTTCATTCGTGTAACAGCGTCCCTTCACCCACTTCTTGCATCTATTGCTCTGTTCAGCCTAGAATAGAATGTTGACAGTGCTGCTTACTTCTGGGGGTATGGATACACATCACCCCACAAGGATATGGATGTTGGGCTCACTAATTCTATTAATTGGTCCTCACTTTTGCTTTAACTATTTATTTTGGCTTCTACGGTCAATGAAATAGTTGAAATTCTTGTTCGCAAAGTCGTATTTGTCAGTGAATCACTTTTCCTCCATTTGAACTCAGAGTTAGCTGATAATGAAGTCCATGTGCTTTGTTAATTATAATAGTAATTGCTATTTGTAGCCAGTCAATAGAATCTAATCCGCACAACTTGAATCATGTATGCGACTCAATTTATCTCTTACACATTCCTGCAGCCATTTCATTGTGAATATAATTATTTGCGAGTTAGGCTAATTGAGTTTGAGCCATCACTTTCTTTGTAGGACCAAGGTTGCTGAAGGTAATGTCTCAAAAGAGTTGAAAAGATTTTTGAGCTGCTGTGCAGTGGAGCTTAAACTAACAAAGGAATTTATCGTCCCTTCCATGACATTATTATTAGTACTGCAATTCCTCACTCCATTCATTCATAAAATTCCATTCAAATCCCATGCGAATTCTGATTTATATTTTGTCTCAGCTTTCAGCGATGCCAGGTTTATGACCACCACAATGAAGAAATACGAGTTGGCATGTGCATATTTGCCTTTATGTAAGTACGTATCTCTTGAGTTCAAGTTTGAGTGGGCTTCTCACCAAGATCTTTACAATGGAAGGGATGGAAAAACTTGTGACTGAAGCCAGGGTGTGACAAGGTCGAACATCAATCCAGCCCAGTTGCAAATGCGAAGCAAAAACTTGTATCAATGTAGACTTTTCTGATTTTATAACCAACGAGTGTCACGATCTTGGTCGGGTGGAGAATCTATGAGCGCTTTGAGCTTTGAGAGAAATTCTGCGTCTGTGTACTGATCAAATCTTGCAGGTTATTTGATGAAATGGAGTAAATTCAGATTAAGCAGACCTCATGTGTTGGTCATTGTGAGTCTTGTTAGGTTTTATACATACACGTTGATGTATAGATACACCAAGATACACCAAGATATACCAAGATACACTGCATGTTCCGTCGATCTAAATAAATATCTGCACGTCTTTGTTTCTGGCCACTCGGTAGATGAGTGATTGCAAAAAAACTAATGCAAAAGTTCTACCTCATGCAATTAGAGGATATGGTTGCAAACTTATTCGTGAATCTGGACAAGCCTGTTGGTGATTGTTTATTTGACACACTTGCTGCTAAATCCACGCAATAAAAATAATAGAACAACTCCAGGAACCGGCTATTAAATTATTTCATCTGTGAGATGCAGCACTCACTAAAAAGGGTGTTGTCTTTTTTAATCGTGTTGTAGTGATGTAGGCTTTAGTGTCCGGGACATTAGATATTCTGTCAGATTAAATAGTATGTGATGTAAGCTGATTTATGATTACATGATGATCTTCTCTTCCATGATTATTGAGCAGCACACTACAAGATAATGAAATCCATCATTTAAAATAATTTAAATAATGATTTACATTAATGCTCACATTAAAAAGGAAGCAGTTAAATGAAATTATTTCATGGCGAACAACAATTTACTCCTGAAATTCAGAGCTGGAAAGTATTATGCTAACTGCAGACTATAGACCTGCAAGTTGCGATAGATAAATTAATGACTACCCGCATCGTAATAGGGAATTCTCATAAAATTAACTTATTAAAGATAAACACGTCATTCTCCCATGAAAACCCGCTAATGATGCACGAAAACAGAAACAAATAAATTATTAGAAGCTTAACTAAAGGAAAATAGCGAGCTCGTTATTATTCTTATTGGTCCTATTGTTGGTATTCAATAAACTGTGAAATTTAAATATGAGCCTGTTTCTTGATAGTCAGTCGGAAAATTTCTGAATCATAGGATGCGAATAATATTTGCGCTTGACTGAACTTGGTAAACATATTTGTATACGAAAATTGAGACTAGAACATTGGTTTAAACGGCGATTGAATGACAAAGGAACGCGAATGATGAAAACATAATATTTAATGTGTTCTCGCCATATTATAAAACTATTTATTTATTACCGAATAAATGACCATCACGACGCTATTGAAAATGCTCAGCAGTCAGCATCATGTACCACAGCACTTTCAAAAAGTAACTTTCTTGCGAGACAATATTAGTCCAGCTGAACAAAGTTGATGCTATTTATCCAAATAAATAACTTTATGTCACTAACAACTTAATTTTATTGACGATTTATCTACTTCTTCTATTTAGGGCTAGGTTAGAAAATATTTTTTTTGCTCTAAACCAAACATAAATATGATCACCAGCGACGCCTAGAACTTCACCGCAAATGATAAATGAGCAAATATGATGGCTCTTTTTCTCAAGTATTTTTATAAGTTCGTGCTCATGGTAGGTTTCGTGGTATATTGCTACTGCATGCAATTAACGACGATCAAATACCTCTACCAGTCGACGGAACAATGAAAGTTCTCAACATTAAACCTGAGCAAAATGTTGTAATAAAATCAAAAGTGCATGCTTGCCTACTTGAACACAAGGTTTCATCCCCTCCGTCGTCCCTTGTGCCTGAATAATACCTCAGCATTTTATTCGTCAAGACACTGCCTCTCGTAAATATCATGGGCGTACAAAGTATGGCAACGAAGGATGAGTTGCCGATGACTATCTATAGCTAAAGTTCACAACCACTTATTTATTGTCATTCATTATGTAGCTCGAGTGTTATCATTGCTTCAACTATGCTAGGAATACCATTCTTTCTGCTATTGCACACTCCTCGAGAAATTTAATAGTGCTACTGTAATACCCACTGTTAGCCAAATAGGCAATAATGATGGACTAGGGCAAACTTGGTTTCTAAAAAATTGCATGCCCACTAATAATAAATATTATAGTTTGGTAATTGTTAAATAAATGGCGAATTAGTGTCCATTTGAAGCCTAATTTGTATGATACAAGGCTTAATGGCTAAATATGAATTGCGTTCCAAATATTTGCCAATGTTTTCCCATTAATTATCAAATAAGTAGTTGGTTTCATGTCAATATGGAATGTTCAAGTACGAGAAAAATTCTTGGATTTGTTAATTGATTTATGTGCTTCAAATAATATTATCTAAGTCTGCGCCAGAATTTCTTATGCATATTTTACATTTCTTCGACTTCATCAACAAATAGTAAAAAAATACTAACGTTTTTGTTAAGGACAAAACTGTTTATTTTGCTTCACGCGAGTAGACGCCCATGCTACATTTTATAAATTTTAACATCTCGCTAACCCATTGGATAAGGTTAATATGGTAAAAAATAATATGAGAATAACAAAATCGAAACGTTTCTCCTTTCCATTTTAAATATTTATGTATCTCTTGTACATGCAATAAATAATTTGAATCTGCTCAAAACCATTTTTTTTAGATAAATGCTGTGTTTTCCACGTCCTCTTGCAGACATATGGAACAACAAACCCCCTTACTCCGTTAACAAAGGAAGAAAGTCCAACATCTAACTAATATACACTATCTATGTTCTTAATTTATATATTAAGGACCATGTTATCGGACCTCATGAATGTTAAATTTGTCGTTTATTAAACACAAGCTTTCGGACGCAAGTCTCCTTCATCATGTGTAGATAGGTCGAAGAGCTTTGGTATTATTGTCTTCAAATTGTATATTGTCTATAACATAGTCGAGATTATCGTGATGTAAAATAATGCATGAGATAAGAAAACCGGAACAAGTGAAACAAAATTGGTTGACACAATAAACTATCCAAATTGCGGAAACTCATTTTTCTCATTTTCTTTCTTTAAGCGTCCATAAATTTACCATGAATTTACAACAAGGTGTGAGCATGGACAAACCGACTCTGTTATTTTTATCCGCCATCAACTGGTAGTATTTTGGCTGGGAATGATGCTAGACCTTTATCACTAATTAATTTTATTCGGTTAAGCCTTTTGTGTCGTGTCCGAGATGAGCGTACATATGTCGAATAAAATTCTGGCAGAGGAGATATCCAACACTCTTTTTGCTAAATTGGTTTCGTTGACCTATTGAAAGTAATAGGCTGCGCTGCACTGATTCAATATTTTAATTAAGCGTAAACTATTTTATGACTTGTAAAACTTTATGTCGTACTTGTGTTGTTGCTTTCTAACCAGAATATTTAATTATACACTTTATACACTTATCTAAATTGCAAACTTGTGAGTGTAAGAAGAACCTGACAGGTTGCGTAACCCTAACTCGGGCTATACATGCATGCGGCAATGTTTTCATGAATTGGCTAAATGTTTTCGTCTCTTACAAAAGCGCCATCTAGGCTACGGCAGACCAACGATATTTATTAATAACCTGGGCAATCAGCCGCTAATATCATTCTCCATTCTACATATTTGTGTTTCTCCTTCATTAATATTGTATCGTTTTTTCGCAAAAATTTCTGTAACATTTCCAGCATGCTGTGTATCATCTGTCTAGACGAAAACGAAGTAGAGTGGCATTACCATAGCCCTCTCATGCAGTGTAGAACACATCTTATTTGTAATACGTGCATGATTAATTTGTTAAATTCTTTTTCTTTTCAAGAAGACTTGACTAATGTTAGTTGTCCAGCATGTCGTTCACCTATTTTCCACTATCTAGAATGGATGTTAGATCATCCAGTTTCTGGCCGATCTAACACTGCCTCTGTAAAGTTCTACATTGCAATTTAATTTTCAATGACTATCGTAACCCAATATTTCAACAATTAACTACTTATTTCTAGAAACTATTACATTGCTTACTTTCTATTGGGTCGCCCGTCAGACGAGTCCGTGCGTGAAGTATCCTACATGGTTGCACACTCACGACCTGGGTAACGCAAAGAACTGACGTTTCTTTGAAATCTTCTTTGAATCTCATTATGTGACAAGATTGAACATGACTGCAATTCGTGGTGCAGACGAAGTGCAATCAACAAGATTCAACATGATTGCACTTCGTCCGCACGACGAATTGCAGTCATGTTGAATCTTGTCACAGAATGAGAGCAAGCCATTGCCCAGCCCACACTATTGCTCAGAGTATATGCTGTATTCGACAGCGATCGTGACTTTAATCTACTCAGCTATCATCAATTGTGTAACAATAATTGGTAAAGTTTTGTGCATAATGTTAGATAGTTAAAAAAAATTGGCTTGTATTATAATTAATATCTATTTTTTCTTTCAGCTGATGGTGTGAAAAGTCCTCACCATGTCCCAGGAAGTCTCCTCCCACTTTCCACTTACCCATCATCCTGAGGGTGTACCAGTCGATGTCATTTTGTCAAGAGTGATTCCAGGAGGGGACGAAGTCGACTTCGCTTCGTTCTATGCGGGGGAATTCTTAACTGATGCCGCCATCAACGCAGCAGCAGAACAACTGTTCCGTAATGTGGATAATATGGCTCAGTTCTATCTCGCTATTGGAGCCACCGCAGTTTTTGAAATGGACGGAAATGTCGATTCGCTATTGCCCGATTTTAATACTGAAGAAGGGCAGTTGTACAATGTGCAGAACTGCAACAATCATTGGATTTTGCACCATGTCAACTTTGATGACAGAAGCATGCGGTTCTTGGACAGTCTTCCAGGATCAATCCCCGTCATAAAAATTCGACAATACCAAAATCAATTAGCCCGGATGTTCCAGAGTCGTTATGACATCGACCGAAATTCATGGAGATATCATGCAGCAGTACACGTTCCGCGACAAAGAGATGCGTTTTCGTGTGGAGACTTCTGTTTAGCCTTCCTCCAGGAATTGCTCAAAGGAGGATTGGGAGAAATGGATCGCCTTGACCCGTTGGAGATCCCTACACGTCGCCTTAGTATCGCAATGGAACTTCTTAAGAAAGATGTAAATGGGCGTTCCATGTTGGCAGCAGGACCAGATGAAAGGTCTGAAGACAGGACCAGAAAGATGCTGATCCTTTTCCACAGACGGCATCAGCTCCGTTCCACTAGCAATTCGTTGAAAATACTCATCGACCAAAGTAGTCAAAATGACGACTCCTCCGGTGATGTAAAGGCAAGAAAGCTTGCATTGGAAACGGAAGTTCGGCACGCTAGCGCCTTCAACACAAGACTTCCCGGCGGAGAATATTATGTTTCGAGTGGACCAACATTGTAAGTATCTTGTATAACAATAGCAACAAGCTATGGTAACAAGTATAACAATAGTATGTAATGATTTATAGAGTAACGCTGACTCGGATTCGCCGATGCAAATCTGGATTAACGCAGGAATCCAAACGAATTCATTTGGACGACGAGACAGAAGTGTGCAACTCTGGTGAAACGTCAGCAAAATTACCGGATCAGCATGGAACACCTGGAAATCTCGAACGCGGCCGCACCGGAAGGTAATTGTCATTATAATTATATAAATAAGCAAGAAATATATCACCAAATATTTGTATACAAATGTCAGGAGACCACGACAGTTCCACCCCAAGAATCAAACCCCAGGATACGAGTACGAAGCCGATAACGGTGTCCGATGGAAATTGGGTGGGGATGGAAGATATCACAGAATGTGTGTCAACAAATCCTGTCCATTTCCTGCCCGGGAAGGTGACACATGTCGCGCCTGTCTAAGTGGGAGGTAATTATCATTAGACCGTAGTATAAATAAACAAGAAATATGTATTAAAATATTTTTATATGAATTTCAGGAAGCCACCAAAGTGGCACCCCAAGAATCAAAAACCAGGGTACGAGTACCACGATGATGACGGTGTTCGATGGAAATTGCATGTGAATGGGAAAAGATATGTCAGAATGTGTGCCAACAATTCTTGTCCTTTGCTTGCCGACAAAAACGGCACATGCAAATCCTGCCGAAGTGGGACGTAAGTATCATTAAAAGTGTATAAATAAGCAAGAAATATATATTAAACTATTTGCATATGAATGCCAGGAATCCGCGAAAGTCACACCCCAGGAATCAGAGCCCAGGGTACGAGTACGAAGACGATGAAGGTGTTCGATGGAAATTGGGTTCCGACAAAGCTTACTGCAAAATGTGTTCCAACAAACCTTGTCCATTGCTTGCCCTTAAAGGTGGCGATAAATGCAACTCTTGTCGAAGTGGGAGGTAATATCTCTTAAAAGATTATGAGTAAACTAAAAAATTAAATTGCCAACAAATTCTCAAAATGCATTTACGCAACAGGAAGCCAAATAAGAAGCACCCGACAAATTGTAATGCAGGTGATGAGTACGAAGACTATGAAGGCCTCCGGTGGAAACTGACTGATGGAATTTGTTGGGTTCAAATATGCTGTTACGAGAAATGTAACAATAAATCTAGGACCTTCAATATGTGCCGTTCTCACCTGAGAAAATGGTAAATAACCCGATGTATATGCACAGAATTGTACGCAGAGTACGGAAAATTTTACTCATAATAATCTATTTATTCGTAGTGGCATCGGAGTATATCCAGGAGATGAATCTATGATTTACCTCTTGCGCTGGCTAAACCTAAGCAAAATTGCAGCCGGAGTTGTTTGTAATATGACCATACTTGAAGACCTTGAACAAGCGGCTATCCAGCATTTGGAACTTGAAGGATGTACCGACAGGTAATAATTTACCTCACGACTAAATGACTTGTATCTAACATATCTTGAATTTGTTCAGATTCTTGAAAAGGGCGGGTTGGACGCCGGACACGGGAAATGTCATACCTCTGTGCATGGCACCCGCATCGAAGAGATTCCATTTCAAGTTTTATGCTAGGACCATGCTTGGTGGCGGAATTTCAACTCTTACTCGGCCTAGGGTCAATACTCTCACTCAAATGGATCAACAGGTAGTCAACAACGCCATCCTTGCGAATCTGAACAACCTTCCCAAACCAACGTTATATAAAATGAGCAAACTGGACTTTTGGAAGAGTAATGCAATAGTAAGTTTTACTATTTATAATTTAAGTTGCACATAAATTGAATGTTTGGAAAATAGTTACGTAAAATGACACAATTTTTTTTAGTTTCAGACATACATTAACGGTGTTGATGGCATGAGGAGTATGCGAAAAAGTGATATTGTTGCCATCCAGACGGACGTGGATAATACCATCAGAGAGGGAGCATATGAAAATGCGGAGGAAGATGAAGATGAGGACGAAGAAGACACTAATGATTATTGGGTTTACGTCATGCGCTGGATAAACCTTAATAGTTACCCTGCTGATGTTGTTTGTAATATGACCATACTTGAAGACCTTGAAAAAGCGGCTATCCAGCATGTGGCACTTGGACGATGTACCGACAGGTAATAATTTACCTCACGGCTAAATGACTTGTATCTAACATAACTTGAATTTGTTCAGATTCTTGAAAAGGGCGGGTTGGACGCCGGACACGGGAAATGTCATACCTCTGTGCATGGCAACCGCTTCAAAGAGATGCCATTTCAAGTTTTACGCTAGGACTATGCTTGGTGGCGGAATTTCAACTTTTACTCGGTCTAGGGTTAATACTCTTACATGGGAAGATAAAGAAGTTGTTCATCGTGCAATCGTTGCCAAATTAACTGAACTACCTGATCCAACCCTGTACCGTATGTCGCAAATGGACCACTGGAAGGAGGATGAAAAGGTAGTGTTTAACAATTTAATATTGCTTTACTTTCCTAAAATAAAAATAAATAAAATATGTGTTTTTGATTTTCACAGTTCCAACTATTCTGGAATACAAGACGCCAAAGGCTGGTAAAGAGTGAGATTCTTTCCATCTTGAAAGATACTGAGGATACAATCAGAAGTGGGGCATGGGCTCAGGCAGAAGAGGAGGAGGACTGTGAGAATAGCGACTAAACATATCTGTGTCGTCCTCGCGACGTGAGGAAACCGCTATCGCAATACTTATTTATAAAAATTTATGAATCATCTTGGTACTGTTTTCTGCTGATGTATATAAGATCAAGATTCCTATACTTTTAACTTTTACATAATTTCCATTTTTATTTTCTTGACAACATAGTGACAAATAGAAATACACATTAGTTGGCTTGGGGAGTAGCGGAAAACCTTATGTTGGTGGGTTGGGAAAACCACTACTTATCACCCTGACCGGATTTTTAGATAGGCATATCGTTTAAAACATAAAACAATTCTTCCCAATACTCGTTGATTGGGAACGGCTCCCATAATGGTTCATTTAATTTTCATTTAATTCACTCCACAGAAACAAAATAAAAAGTTTAGGAATCTTGACATAATTTATGTTGTAGTTTTAGCCTTCTTTTGTTATTCCAACAATCGTTTTATCTTTATATTGGTTTTTGTCGTGAGCATTATGTATATTATTTATAAAAAGTGTAAATTGGATTAAAATCAACCATGAATCATTAAGGATTAATTCTCTTTTCCACCTCATAAAACGATGGAACATCTTCCCTTCCAAAAGCCCTTTTTCATTAATCGGTCCATTCCTGGATACACTACGCAGTGTCGGTCCCAGTACCAATATAATGGCCAGAATGTGGTTTTAATTCTGTCCACCAACGTCAGCTGGAAGTTGTCATACTTCATTAAGGCATCTGGAATCCATGACGTGTCCGCGTGAAATCCGTAAAGGTCAAAAAACCTGAAACAATTGTAATGTATTTTCCTTCCTATAAGTGCTTACACTTCTCCAAAATCACATTTGAGACATGCAAATATGTAATGATGCCTTATTATCAAGGGGGAAGGACACTGCCATCGAATAAAATATGAAGGCTTGTAATTAATTTTTAATCGTTTCTTCCTATTCCATTGTAAGAGGATTTCTTACCAGTTTTCCAAAATTTTAAGTTAAAAAAATTAATTTTAATGTTTGCCTACTCTTAAAGAGATTACACCAGACCTCCTCCGACGGTCAAACTAAATTTTCCCAGTGCACCATGTACGCGAGGACAGCGGCTCAATTATCAAATGTCCAAATGGGTGGGAGTACGATAGTACTGTTTTTCATATCATTACTCCAAGACGAAAGTATGGAGTTTGCTCCTCAAAGCAGTGGTGGCACTCTTGGTATGCAAATTAACTTTTGTGTGTGTGGTTCATGGGTATGTTATCAGCTCTCCATCAGTAAAGCACAGTAGTACAGAGTACGAGTCCACAATTTCATCTGCTTACAACTGGGTTTGCGAATTTGCAGACAACCCGACGGATGCCTTTACGGTAAAAATACAAATATTTACAAATTCAACTCGTCTAAAGATAATTCTTGATGCGATATGATTTACATGAAGTAATTATTTAGTGGTGTTTCGCTTCACAATGCTAAATATGAGTATGCATCAATATTTTATATTACAGGCCCAAGCATTTGGCAATGCTGTTGGGACTCTGGTATTGGGTCACCTTTCAGACAAGTACATAATAAAGTATAAAATTTTAAAGGAAAAGTAAATTAGCATAAATTCGATTAAAATTGTGTTCAGGATGGGTAGGAAACCAATCTTCTTTCTGACCATCCTCATAAATGTGGTGTTTCGCATGATAAGTTTCTTTGTTGTCCACAATATTGTAATGTTTCATATTACCCAATTTATTGCTGGGACTGCTTTTCCAATGGTAATTTGAAATACACTTCAGTTAATAAAACCATTAAGTATTACTTTCTAATAATTGCTCTCTCCTTGCAATGGGCAATATTAAGATGTTTATTGCCCCGTCAATGATCCTGGCTGAAATTTGCGACAAGGGTGAGTACGTTTGATATGACTTATTTACATATGTGTAAATGAGACCTCACCATGCCACGTTAGTCACTTTTCATAGTTTTATGTGTGCTTACAGAGTACAGAGGCCATGTTTATGCCGTGACGTGGATGATTTGGGTGGTCGGAATGGCAACTTTGCCACTGGTCGTTTGGTTTTGCAGAGAATGGTTGTCGGCTACAATTAAAAAATATTTATACAAAATAGCTGTTTTTATGCATAATAATAATAATATCACTAATTTAGGTTTCTAATTGGAGTTACAACCACAATACCTGGAGCACTGCTATTCCTCTACTGGTTTTACCTTCCCGAGTCTCCGAGGTGGCTTTTCTCCGTGGGAAAGTTGGAAGAAGCCGCCAGCGTCCTTCTGAAAATTGCAAAATCCAACGACAGGGCAGACCGAGTAACCAAAAAACAACTTGACAGCACTCTGTCACGTCTGTATAGTTTACAGGCCAAGTCTGAAGGCAGGACTGGGGTGTGGACGCTATTTAGTAGGATGAGACTAGCCAAGAACACGGTCCTTCTCACCGTCTGTTGGTCAGTTGGTGGTATCTCGATTAATATTTGTATTGAATGTCGTATTTTGTAACATATTGGTAGATTAATCTTGGCTACACCTGCCCTACATATAGGTCCATTAACATAGTGGTCTACTACGGCATAACGCTAAACACAAGTAAGCACAATCTTGCTTGAAATTGTATAAAATTTATCAATTTGTAATTGTAATACTAGCGCAAATGTCTGGAAATCAATTCGTGAATTTTTTCATGCTCTCTATAATTGAGCTTCCTTCTGGAATGTGTGGAGCATATCTTGTTGATCGTGTCGGGCGAAGATGGACCCAGGTCGTTTTCTTCTGTGGGTGCACTATGGCGTGTGTTGCCTCTGCAGCGAATGTGCAATTTTTGAATAATCCAGTAATTGAAGTTCTGGATAAAATATTTTTCGTATTTTGGATGGTGTTCATTGTGATTTTCCATTTGGCAGCTTTCCCTAGTTTTTAGCATTAACTCATCACAAACTATAAACATTTAAATATTGAATGGCTCTTATACATGTCGATCTGTAAAATAGATTTGTAGGTAGAATACTCAAATGTACCAATATGTAAAGATTTATATACAAATTATAATGCCAAACCAAAGAGGGGAAGTTGACAGTACTCGATTTTGATACCCATTAGCCGATGAATCTGTTAAAACCTCCAACTGGTTTTACTCCGTGGAGGTCAACCACACACCCCTAAAGGAACGAAAAACACGAACAAACCGTTTTTTCCGTTCAAACCATCGCCAAAAATCCAATTCTAGTCGGATTTTAAAAAAATTTATTTTCTTGATCATAGCTTTATGCTCCATATCAAACTCAATTTTTTCTAAATTTCCCTAGTCAAGAAATTTTTGAAAATATTATACAAAAATTAAAAAATTGAGTTTCATGTTGGATATGGAAAACAACTATCCAGAATCAGGAGAATCCGAAAATGATCACAATCGGATGAATACTAAATGTGAAGGAAAACTTTACTTTACTTCTCATACACCTTCCCAATAATATTTAGAACATATCCAAAGGGTATCAAAATCGGTACTGCCAACCTCTCCTCTTGAATTAGAGTAAATAATAAATATTTATAACCGTGTTTATAACCCTGCACGAAAAGCGAGCTATGTATGCAACTAATTATTAATACAAGAGGATGACCTTCCAGGCAAGCTAAATAATTATTTTCATCGAACTTGATTAAATACTTTAAACATTCTGCTTCTGGTTGGATTTTAAAAAAAATTATTATTCCACTAATATTCATGGTTCAGTTGCAATCGATTTGTATTTCATTTCCTTTTGTAAATTGCCACTATGTAGTCAGCAAAAGTAATTATTCATATGTTACATCGATATTTTATGACATTTAGGGATACAAATTATAAGTTTCATTCATGGAACAATTCTTCAACTTTTCCGCTGCCATTTAGGCCAATTTAATTCTGTCAAATATACCATTGCACTGTTTAAAGCATATTCAAAATTCAACACTTTTTACGGCTTGGATGCACCATGATCAGCTTAGGATCCAAACAAATGGGATTGAAATCTAAATCAGGCATTAGGTCATCTCCAACTTCATCCAAATGTTCTGGGAATAATGCCTAAAAAATAAATAAATATTAAATATTAATAAATATTAAAATAAATATTATTAATAAATATTATTAAATATTAATTATTAAATAATAATTATTAATAATTATAATAATTATAATAATAATAATTATACCTCCAAAGCCCGATAAGCCGCTACTTGTTTCGACCTTTGTTTGCTGTCCCCTAATATTTACAAATATAAATTGTATGGTGATGTTTTCTGAGAAATATTCAAAATTTTCAAATCTTTGACACCTTTTCCAGTAAATGTGCTTTCCGGCAGGTCAGGATCTGTTACGGTCAGCGTGGACAGATGAATTGGTGGATTGAGACATTGGTGATCACAGTCGTATGACGCATGACTTGTAAGTTCATTTAAAATTGAAACTGGGTTTTTATGAGGTTGAACAATTGTGGGTTTCTCAGTCGTACAGGGAGGACAATCTTCTCTCGGAGTAAGTCGAGTATCAACCATCTAACCAACCAAAATTTTCAAACAATTTCAGACGATTTTTCTAAACCAAAGTAAAGTAATGATTACCCTTGCAAACTTTTCAGAATCGCCATTTATCGGTTCTGAAGCAAACATTTGATTAACCAATTGATGGAAACCTGCAACAAATACCCTCAGATTTATTATGCTGGGTATTAATTGATAAATATACAGCATTGGATGAAGACTTACCCATCAGGGCTTGATTTTCCTGAATAAGTTGCAGATTTTCTTCGGCCATAAGCGCATTTTTATAGACCAACAGTGCAGAAAACATTGTGTTAAAAACGACAACGACCACCAAAATGACACATGTTAGTTTCAGAGATGTATTTTGGACCTGAAACTCTTGGTGGGTTTTAAGATATTTTTGCGTAATGTCCTTCGCCAAGGGGGAAATTCCTGGAAAGCTTTGCTTCATTTTGAATTTGATACCAGAAATCCTTGGTTATTATGTACGTGTAAAATTGCACGCTATAACTGAATAAACTAAAATCTGTGAATCAAATAAGTTTGAAGCAGTTCTATGTATTCGGAAATGAACGAAGTTTAACAAATCATTACTTTTTGTCGTTGCAGTCTTGTTAACCTATATTTCGAATTATCAACTTATTTGCATAAGATTTTATTGCTCGTATCGCAGCATATTTTGCCCAAAAAAAGTAGGTCAGTGAGATTGAAAGCCGACCGAGTCAACGGTATATCATCATTCACGTATGTAGATAATAAAATACAATAGGTGCACATGTTGTATTGAATTGATTCATCTGATCTGCATGACTAACATTAACTCTTGTATGCATAAAAGATTGATTGATAATTTATGACCTAGTCGAACATATTGAAAATAAAGTATATTTTTTCCGGAATTATTCATATATAGAAAATATAACAATTAAGTAAATAAATCTCTAACTTATGGATTAATAAGGACTTCGTCCAGAATACATGGTATACATAGTTCGCGCAATCACACCATCATGTTGAATCTCCTGAATTAGCCATCGAACAATTAGTAATGAATATACGATAAAACATGTCCACGAGATGTATAAACTGAGCATGAAAATAGTATAAATATCAAACCCAAAGACTGATAACAATGACAAAATGTCGCCAATTAAAAATAATACAACTAAAAATCCAAGAATTAGTCTGATGATAAACCAAACACGAAGCCGAGATTCATTCCTCTGAAAATTTGTCATGAAAATACATTTTATATGAATTCATCAAGTATAGATACCTATACATAAAGATTTATAAATGTTTCATGTACCTGTCTGGCACTTCTGTACATGAAAATTGCCAAGATCACATGAAACGCGATGAATACAATTTTTCCCACAAATCTGGACAGGGCAAATGGCCAAGCTAACAGGACATAAATGATACATTTATATTTACTTACATACGTAAAATATACTTCATCGACAAGCAATTTATCTACACTCACAAAAGGCTTCCAGTTCCGAGGCAGAGGCTATTCCATAATAAATACTTCTTAATGTGAAGCATATAGCCCAGATCAGGAGCAGTATCTAATGCAACACAAAAGTTTTAAAATCAGTACGACATAATCAACACAATGATTTATCCACTTACAATTTCAACAATTGCAGCCCATTCCGCCTGCATTTGAAGCACGGACATTGTGACCCCAAGAACTTTATATCGGCGTAGACTTATTAAATCTGTAGATATTTTATTAGTTTCTGTCAAAATATTTACATGTCACAAACAAATGCACGCAGACGAAGTTGAACCTGTGAGATACCGGATATCCGGCAACTCACCGTGCTTGCCATGCAGTTTATTATTGCCCGGAATCTGAGAGCCAGTCTAGCATTGGGAATTATTGGTGTGATGGAGATTATCAGAAGAGATGCGAAAGAAAACTAAAAATAACAGGATCTAGAAAAAAAAGTCAATGCTAACTAGATTACGGAGATGCTAAAAATATGTCTCCGATCTCTGGGCTCTCCACTCTGATGCTTGTCGAGAAGAAACACAGTGCTAATTAAACAAGTGTTGTTGCTGGTAAAGCAGAACCAGAATGAATTATTTCGCCATTTGCTATATACATAAGTTACTTAAAATGCTATTTCACTAACCCATGGCTTATGGGTTGGTTATAGATGGACATGTCCATTGATTAAATGGATACCTTTCAAGAGGAATACTATATTCGTGTACATGATGGTGTTTGGCATAGCATAATACGGCCGTAAATAAATAAATCTTGCACATGTTTGTATTTGCAATTTGTAATCAATTTCTCATGTTGCAGCGAAATGGAAGCTTAAACATACCACAAGCGTCACAAGCCCCTTAATTGAGGATCACGGTCTCTGTCACTCCCTTTACTGATGTTGTAAATACGAATGTGTAGCTAGGATGGGAGATGGGATAATAATAATGCAATTGCGACTGGCAGTTTTATAAGAGTCGTGTTTTGTTGGAAATGAGTGGGTGTTTCTGACCTTTGTAGTTTACTAGCTGTTGAATAATTAAAGATTTTATGTGGGTGAAAAGTGAAGGTAAATATATATTCGTTAAACAAACAAAGTGCGGTACAGGTTTAATTGTTATTCTATTCAGCCAGATTTCCAATATTTGCGAAGGATATGAACTTGGGAGTAGCTAGTGAACAATGAAATATTGATGCTAAATATGCGCATACCCAAAAAATAATTTTTTGTACAGTTTATGTTTATTCATATGTAAAAATTTCACAAATGCTAATTATATTACGTAAATACTAATTAAGCACTGCCAAGCGGAGTTGCAATGCAACTGCTGTCCGTCGAAATGTTGTCATCTGAAACACCACCCCCTCCGGTAACGTCTGCAAGATAATGATTGTCGAGAATCTTATGTTCCCTTAAGATACCCTCAAAGAAGGTACACAGCTGCTCTGGGCAAGGTCTTCGACTTGGATCATTGTCCCAACATTCAAGAAGTACTGTGTATCTATAAATTGTCAATTGACTAGATTTTAAAACCCACTATAGTTTATTTTAGTAATTGATTGAGACAACGCACAATTTATGCGGAGCGAATGCAGGTTTGTTCATTCTGAGACCGCGTATCAAATAGTTTACAAAATCCGGAGTCCATGATAAGCCATGAAATGGGACTGATCCCAGTGTAAAAATTTCATAAATTGTGATACCAATCGTCCAAACATCTGAACGCGTCGTAAAAGTCATGTCACGCAACGACTCGATCGACATCCAGCGCCAAAAACTTTGCTAATCATACCATTTTGATCTTTAGCTGTCACTCACATGAGGTATTTTGGTGTAAATATACTCATAAATCAATAACACTAACCTCTTCGGATGCATCATAGGAACTGTATCGATGCAACTGTGATGGCAAAGCAGGAATCGAAATTTTTGCCACTTTGTCTTCAGTCAAGTAGATGTTTTTGGTACAAATGCCTGCATGTACAACTCCAATAGAAGCCAGATATTTTAGAGCATTGCAAATCTCAAAACTCCATCGAAGCAATGAGAACGTCGTAACAAGGCTGCTTTTCAATGATACTTGTTGGACATTGCAATAATGTTGTCTGCAATCAAGTGCATTATTTTGTGTAGATATAATTCATATTAAAATGCTACAAATTCTATGTATAGACAATCATACACTGCGTAATCTCTGGACAAAGTTCCATTTCTCACCAAGTTCACAAAAGCCCCTCTGTGAGATTTCAGAAATTGATGAAAATTTCCATAAGGAAAATATTCCAGTATTATCATTATTTTTCCTAAATACACCAAATATATATTGCAATAATCCATATACATATAGAGACATTCAGAAAGTAGGCTAGTTAGGCTTAAATTAGCATACGTTGTGCAATATCGCAAGTCACGGCTCCTAACAGCTCCACAATATTCTCATGTTTTTGAACTGATGAGACATAGGTCATAATTTTGAGTTCAGAAAGGATAGCTCTGAAATGTGCCACATCCACATTATTCGTTGTTGTTTTGACTGCTACAAGGATTGAACTTCCGCTCGGAAGTTTCATGTTTCCTTTAAGAAGCAGAAGGTCACTCTCTGTTTTTTCCAATGGGTTTTCCTCATCTTTATAACAACATGGTATTGGTAAATAATATGTATTATGCACTAGTAATTACGTATTATCAATCACCAATGTTCAAGCAATCTCTGGAAATTTCAAAATATGTGTTGTATGGTCCATGTTCGGCCTTTTCAACGTCACCAAAACCCGGAGGAGGTTGAAAGTGTCGAAAGCTACCGTTGAAAAACATCTCCACTTCTCTGTCCTTGAGATTTTTGCTCGATGAATTTGACCTCCCAGCAAGTCTCAAGGATTTCATGAATTTCCAAACAATCATTATGGAATAGGGTCGATAAACGCTGGTAGCCACAATAATAAAAATAATCAACCCTGCCCTATTTCCATCATAGTAAATTGAAACGTGGACAATGCTCACGGCCATGCAGCTTACAAAAACTACGCTTATAATAAATATCCAGAGTTTAAACTTCCTAACGTTGCGCTGTGTTAAGAAAATTAACAAAATTGAAGTATAACGTAATGTTATTTGAGAAGTAAGACTTACAGAAATTTCAGCATTAAACAAAAGTATGGAGAGAAATATGGTTGCAACGGATTTAACGAGGTAAAATCCCCAAAATGTCTGCAAAACTTTGGGAAAAAAATTATGTGTGCATGATAGTTAACGAGTCAAAGCATTTTTCGTAAACGGGCAAGTATCGCTAACAGTAAAATTATGTACATACTAGATCCGTTTTTCGAGCAGGATTCGTTCAAGCTGGTCCAGTTCAGGTCCAGATACGTTGGAAATATCCGAGAAAGTTGAATTATCCAAATAATTGATAACGTCTGAAACCGTCGTACACGTGTTTTATGAGATGAGAATTTAAACAGGATGTTTGGATTCAATATTGGACAAATCTTACAATGTCAAAAAGTGCTATGAATTTTACAGCAAATGACAACTTGATTCCGCAGCACCAGACCAGATTTTTAAACTTTGAGAAATATACGTGTTTTGTGGAATCAGGACAAATATTTTCCATTTTGCAGATACGTAATCATTTAATTAGAGCACTATTTTTGTCATAATTAAGGAGAGTGTAAAAAGGATGATCAGGATTAGCGATGACAATTATTTAGGTTGGTTGCTCAATGCACACAATGTCGTATTTCATTCATAGTTTTCTAATTAACCAACTATGAGGAAACATGATTTGTTATTGTTTTGCATGTAATCTATATTTGCGGTTGGGAATTTCCTATGTATTAAAGATAAATAAAAAATACTTACGATAAGTGATCAACATATTTAGCTTCACATTTTTTATTTCATTTTAATATAACTTTTATTAATGACACAAAACAAAGCATATGAGAATTTTATATGTAATTGCAGAAGAAATTTTAATAAAATACAAAATTAAAATTACTGTTGATACGCAAGATTGGCTGCAGCACTGGGATTCGTATGAATCTCTTCGCCAAGAGAATCCAAAAGTTCTTTACGATAATCATCAAAGTCTCCATCAATTTCACAAATTGAATTATTTTCTATGACCCAAAGTTGGCAATTTGTTTCCCTAATTAATCTTTCGTCGTGACTAACTATTACAACTCCGCCTTTGAAGTCATTTAAAGCTTCAATTAAGGCCTCGATAGACTCCATGTCCAAATTATTTGTCGGTTCATCCTGAAACATCAAACAATTAAACCATTACAAAATTTGTTACATACGATAATACACATTAAGAGTAAAATTTCTAAATAAGGAAAATGTTCCTTTCCTATCCTGAGTGGCTAAAATATTGCAATATATTGCTACCACTCTGGCAAAAGCAAAAGGAAATCAATTTTGCACACATGCAGAAACCACAATTCATTTGTAATGAACTTGGCAATAAAGTCATGTTTGCAGATACCTACTTCAAAAATATCAAAAAGTGTTAAACATTCTCTTACCAATATTAAAACATCCGGACCATTCAATTTTAGTTCCGCAAGTGCAACTCGAGCCTTCTGTCCACCAGACAAGTCTTTCATTTTTATCGTATGTGCAAAGCCAGGAAGACCAAAAGATCCAAGTTCTTTCCTTGCCTGCAGCATAATTGGTATTTAAATATTCAAAAGGTCGTAAGACATGAAAATGATCGTGGTAACTGATAAATATTATAAGTATTATGTATGCACACACCTTTTCGTATTGCAAATCGAATAGTCGAACCAAATACTCAACAGGACTTTCTTCAGCTGAAATAAAGAAATAAACATGGCTTAACAACAAAGTAATAGTGTTTTTCAGACATTTAACTTTAACCAAAAGTGAATTTTCATACCAGTCAAATGTTCTCCAGAATGTTGATCAAATTTGCCCATCCTCTGAAAATGTAAGGATATAAGAGAATGTAAACACGTATAGTCTAAACGAATTATAACAAATTGTACATAAAACTATGCATACCAATCTATGATTCTTTCTCCATTCCCCTTTCGTAGGTTCTAATACTCCTGTCAACAGGTTCAAAAAGGTGGATTTTCCAACCTATAAAATTGGAATTATTAGACTTAAACTAAATTTTTTAAACCCTGTAAAATTTTAAAAGAGTATGACCGTACCCCATTCGGTCCAACAATTGCTATTCTCGAGTCCATATCGATTCCAAACTCAATCTCAGTAAAAATAAAGTCCTTAGCCGTTGGGTACTTAAATTTGACATCATGTAATCCTAACACAGGAGGTTGTAATGGAGGTGGTTCAGGGAAACGGAATTTTACAATATAATCTTTCGGTCTTTGAAGAAGTGTAGCAGTCGCAGCAGAATCTTCATCGTCTCGATCGTCTTTATGTCCTCCTTTGCCTTTCGTAATTTTCTTTTGTTGTTCTTTTTTTGTAATGATTTCTGCTTTCTTTGAGTTTTGGCCAGACCTTTTTAATTCTTTTAATTTCTTTTCCTGTTTGTCATAGTCTTTTTGCTGTTCTATACGCTTCTGCACTAACATTTTTCTGAACATTGTGTAATTCCCACGGTAGTAGAACAATTTATGCATGTCCAAGTGAATAATATCGGTGCACACGTTATCCAAGAATCCTTGGTCGTGAGACACAATTAACAAGGTTTTCTTCCATCCTTGCAAATAACTAGAACATAATAATAAAGGTAAAAACAAATAAGGTCCACAGAGGCATGGTTTTCAAATCATCTTACTTATCCAACCAAATGACAGCATTAAGATCAAGGTGATTTGTAGGTTCATCTGGGCATTGTAACATTTTAATTACAACTGAACATTATACAAATTTTAGTTGCATGACTTATTTACCAAGTAATAGCAATGTTGGTTCAATGTACAAAGCTCTCGCCAATGAAACTCTCATTCTCCAACCTCCAGATAATTTATTTGTTGGTCTATCCATCATTTCCTTTGTGAATCCTAAACCAGCTAAAAGTCGACGAGCCTTTGGTTCGGCTGCATCGGCGTTAATTGCCTTTAACTCTGTGTAAACTTCGTTTAGTCGCTCCATCATATCTTGTTGTTTTTTAAAATCCGTCTGCAAACATACCATAAATTTAAATAACTGGGACGTAAGGAACAATACACATTTTATGATTTTATGATGTTACTATTAGACATGCAGTACCTCTGTGTTTGACGCTTCTTCCAATTCTTTAGACTCTTTCAATAATTCAGTACGCTTGACATCAGCTTTAAGAACGACTTCAACAGAAGATGATGGTTCTGGAGACACTTCCTGTTCACAGTATAGTACATCGATTGACCCTGGAATTCGAAGGATCCTTGTAGCGATATGACGCAGTAGAGTAGTTTTCCCATGTCTTTATTTAGACACAAAAATAAACATTATTATTCAATTATAAATAAACGGACATGTGTAGTTATATTGTAAAATGGTTGAATTGTATTATTTACCCATTAGGACCAACAAGGCCATAATGCCTGCCGTTGGCTATTAGTAAGTCAGCATTAACAAACAAATCCTTTCCCTTCGCAGAAATATTGAATCTCTCTACACGGATGTCAACTGCGCCATCATCGACACTTTTCTCCACTTGAGAAACAGTAAAGTTTTCGCCCAACTCGCTATGTCCTTGACCCCCTTTCTTTGTCATTAATTCTGTCTGTTTGGCAAATTCCATCTGAAATCGGTATTTAAATTATCTTATTTATACCATTCATGTTGAAGGAATAATGAACAAAATATAACAAATCAAGTACTTGCCTCTTTTTTCAGTTTCTTCTTTTCTTTATGTGTTAACTTCTTTTCAGGCGCATTATCAATATCTAGCTGTTCAAGTTTTTCTGCAATGTTTTCTGAAATGTCCTCATTTTTATCATCAGGCTTGGAATCTACAGATTCCTCACTAGATAAAGTTGTTGCTTTAGCTGTAACATCCTCTGACTCAGACTTGGAACTTTTATTTTTATTCTCTGACAATTCTACATCAACAATAGGTTTTTCAGCCACTTGAGACACTGGTTTTGCAGGAGATTCCATTTCTACACAATATAATTGAATAATTGACATGAAGCATGGATCCGATAACTGAACTCATCATATATAATACTTGCCTTTGACGCTTGCAACACTTTCTAGTTTCTTTCCTATTTTATCTTCTTCAGTGTCGTCTGTCTTTTTCTTATCATTTTTATTCTTTGTCAGTTCTACGGATTTGGGAGGTGGTTCTTCTTCAGATACTTCATCGTCGTCATCATCATCCATATTTAAGGCCTGCCATTTGTTTTGAGGTGCCCTCACAATCGAATCTAACATATAAAGATGAGATAATGTGAATTATTTGATTAAAACTGCATAGATATATAAATAACTAAAATGATCAATGAAATGAACTACCTTCTTCTTCGGACTCAACTAGATTAGATTGAATCGGCTCATCGTCATCGCTAAAATCATCCTTCTTCTTTTTGTTTTTCTTTTTATTCTTGGTTGCTTTAGTTGGAATTGGTACCGCATCTAGAGCATAAATCCAAATTATAGATCATTCTTTTACAAGCAAATAAAACAAATTGGTCGTCAACTAACCGTGTTCATCGTCTGAACATTTCACTGGTGGTGGCGGAGGAACATCGTCGCCATCATCAGAATCATCTTTCTTCTTCTTGTTCTTCTTTTTATTTTTATTCCCTTTTGTAGCTGGTGCTGGCGTAATTAAGATTTGAAATAAATATGTTATTTGTGAATTTCAAACTCTGAATGCAAAAGTAAAAGTTCAACCAGTTAAACTTATTATTAAATCATACTCATACCATCGTCATCAGAGACAACGGGTGCTTTCGGTTGATGAGGGGTGTCCTCGTCGTCAGAATCACCTTTCTTTTTCTTTACTTTTTTCCCTTTCTTGCCCTTGGGAGCGGCAGGCGTAGGGACCGACTCCTCCTCTGAAACTTCGTCATCTTTTACCTTTTTACCCTTCTTGCCTTTGGCAGCGGCAGGCGTAGGGACCGATTCCTCCTCTGAACCTTCGTCATCTTTTACTTTTTTACCCTTCTTTGATACTTTTGTCGTGGGTTCTGTAAATTCGACACCGCCATTGAAAAATCTTATTCGTATTTACTAATAAGTACGTATTGGATACCTTGACTTTTATCCACCGGCGCTGTTACAATGGCAGTTTCTTCGTCAGAATCTTCATTCTTTTTCTTATTCTTCTTGTTTTTATTTCCTTTCGCAGCCGGTTGGGTGGGAGCTGATTCGTTTTCAGAATCGGGGAAATCATCCCCTCCTTTCCCCTTCTTGGTCTTTTTTGGAGGCATAGAATGTTTATCTGATCCTACAGGCGTAAATTTTGATAAAATCACAAATCAACAAAAATAAATTATTATAAAACGTCGTACTTACCTAGAGCTCCTCTTCTTGATTATAAAATTGTAAAAATATACTCGTAAATTACTGTTTGGATAAAAGTTTACAATATGTTATTGTGCAAAAGTAAAGCGAACGTTTTCACTTCTGTCTGACGTGAATCAGTCAACAGCAAAAATAGAAAGTCTACTAGGTTGCCACATGGGGTGAAAAGGTGGCACGTTTATGAGAGATCGACGAGTTGGAGTTTCCCACATTCTAAAATCCATGTTCATCTTGCATGGCATGGAAATGGATGCGTAACATACATTTACATTACTGGAGAAAGTCTTATCTGTTTCTAGTGCTTGGCTATAAATCAACTGCTTCGGGACCGTGTTGCGTAAGACGCCTGATGAGCCAAGCCAAGGCAACTATTTCGATGTTGATTATAACATGGGGGATATGAGGCAGCCCTTGGGGAATGGGGACAGGGGGTCAGAATTTTTCACATCGATCACACATGTGCATGTACAGCTTCTTAATTTATATTTATTAATAACTATATATGCAATCAAAAGAATAATGACGTTCTGAATGAATTTATTTGCAAGATGATTTTTTTGGTTCGGGGCATGCTTTGAGAAGTTTGTTCCAATCCGGGTTGACTTTCACTTGATCCTTGTAGGACGGGAAAAGATTAGCAATGGCCAAATAAGACACGTATGAATTTGCTTCATTCTTTTCATTCCCAAGTACTGAAAGTTTAAATTGAAAGCCAATCAGTTTTTATGAAATGATATCAACTGGACTATCCGGTAGGACTTACTGAATGTTTGAATTTGATAAGTCTTTTTATTCGAAGTCATTGTGAAGGTTAATATTGGCTGCAAAATTTTAGGAGAATTGCAAGTTTCCCAGCAGGAAATGTTAACATTGCTTATGAGCCCTTGGTCGTTAATTGATTGTAAAACGGTAAAACCAGGTCGTTGTGGAAGCTTCGTGGTGGGGATGGATGTCGAGGAGGGCTGATCTGCTTGAGTGGAAGGGGTACTACTTTCAGTTTCGTCAGGTAATTCTGTGGTCTGTGTCGTTTGGAAGGTTGAGCTGGGCGCAGGGCTGCTAGCAAAACTTATCGTGGTACTTATTGCTGGAGTATTTGTAGCAGACTGCGTGGATGTGGTACTTTGATTTGAAGTATCGATTGCAGTAGAAGAAAAAAATTCAGTGGGGCTGCTGGTAGAACTGCTAGTATTCGCGATGGGGGGAAGTCTAGTAGGGCATCCAGATGAAATAAAACTGCTCAGTGTAGATAACTGCTGCGAAATGTGAACTGCAAACATAGTATATCAATATCATGTAATAGAGCAACATGAAGATGCATTGAAATTTATAATTACGAATAAAATATAGCTCATGAAAACGTACACAATGTGTTGTAATTGCTACTTGATAGTGCCACAATGATAATGGGCAAAGACAGGGCGAAGAAACCATATCCAAATGCAATCCAAATTAATACTTGTCGTTGTTTGCCATTAATTTGAACAGAGTCGACTGTGTGAGTCGCCTGAAATGACCAATTTCAAATTAACAGTTGGATTATAATTATATTTATAGGATCAATTAAATTTACTTGCCTCGTATTCATTTGTGGAGATGCAATTCTGAGATTTCATAGTGTTTTAAGAGCCTGTACACACTAATTACATGAATTATTAGCACCAAACTATGAACGATTTCATATATCTTTCTTTCACGCTTTGAGATACTTTGTATCAATAAAACATTAGTGCAACAACAACCATCAATTTCAAGCCTCGTTTTGTTAAAGTCCTCTCCTCATGCTTCCTGGACAGATAAGCTCAAATGTTTAAAACTTATTCATGTGAAGTTTTGGTCGTTTTCAGCACTGCGGTTTAATGATAACAAAATCATGGTGCAACAAGGATTACAACACAAGCACACAACTTATCAATCAGTATAAGCTGGACTGATTAAGTTGCGGGCACATTATATTCGCGTCAAATAAAATTAAAAAAATGTTTAATGAATTCTAATTAATAATGTTGCACATTAAAATTCAATTTAAATTCTGAAAGCAATTTAATGTATAATTTATTCAGCTATTTTTTTCTAAATATAAATAATCTTTTATTTACGATTAAGGAGTAATCCTAATTTTTCATAAGTAAAAAATTCATGACACTTGTTAGTTTTATTGGAAGCTTCTATCTTGTTGCGGATGTACCAAAGAAAATTCATCTAAGCAAATATCCTGATTCATCATTCATTTCATCAACAGTATTGTTCTGAAAACATTAATCCGGTTATTCCAATTATAAATCTTATTAGCAAATAATTATTTGTCGTACCAGATCATAGGAACGATCGTGCATGAGTCCTTGAAAAAAACTTGCCAAATTTGTAAACGAAGGTCTTTCGTTAGGCACAGGCTTCCAACAATCGCACATTGTTGAGTATCTAAATTACGTAACTTTATGCACACGACCAGATCACAGATGGCATATTCAACAAAATAAATAATATTAATACGGATTACATTTCGGCAGTGGCGAAATTTGGTTTGCTCATTCTCAATCCATTTTCTAAATCATTGGCAAAGTCCACAGTCCAGCCCATTCCTGGATAAGGGGTATCTCCATAAGAGAATATTTCAAAGAGCAGTACTCCGTAGCTCCATACGTCAGATTTCGTACTAAATGTCATGCTTTGAAGTGATTCGATCGCCATCCATCTCCAACTAAACTTTCAGATAAATTTTCATTTAGTTGATGCTTCATATGCTTGTTTTAACTATTTTTTACGGTAAAGGTTCTTGGTGCTTCTTGACATAGCTCGTATACTCATACATACGACGAGATAATCCAAAGTCAGTTATCTTTGTAGTTCCATCCACAGTTAACAATATATTCCTTGCTGCCAAATCCGAGTGAATTATCTAACTCGTTGTTTAATTTAAATGTACAGTTTGGAAAAAATAAAGCAATCAAAAAGTCACCTACATACCTTTTTTGAAGAAATGTGTTCCATCCCGCATGCAATTTCGTACGACCAACGTAAACAATTTTCTGTTGCATTCTTTCCAGTGATCCTAATCAGAATAAGTTTATATGGATTAAACTTGTTCCACATTTTGTGTTATTCGCTCAAAGAAGAAATAATTACGCATTATTTCCTGGGACATTTATGTATCGAACAGAGTCCTCATTTTTATTAGTAATGATCGGCTGTTGCGACAAGTTGGCTTTATATTCCCGAAGCCGTTTCTCTAAACTTCCACCCAGACAGAGTTCGGTTGCAATCATAATCATACCTATGTAAATACTTTAGAATTGTAAATAAAAAAATTCCCCTTGCATTTGTGTCGGCAGACCTTTTCTAATTTCTCCCGTACAAGCACCAATAATCGATACCACATTTGGATGTTTCCCAACATGAATCATTATTTTTATTTCCGAAAGTAAACTTCTTGCTGCTGTTGCTGTACAATTAGATTGTGTCAGTTTGCAGGCAACGTCACGATATACGCAATCCTGGCCTTCAACTTTGCCCATGTACACGCTCCCGAACGCCCCGCTTCCCAAAAGACTGGAAGTATCTGTCCATCAGGTTTTTTAACTTTAGCAATGTATTAAATAAAAGGAGAACCATGTAAGTATTTCTACCTATTACTAAGTTTTTTCTTGGTATTTCGTAACTTCGGTCATACGGAAGTCGTAGGGCGTCTTCTGTGTTTTCATCCATACCCACATCGGATTGTATCCCTTTTTCGAATGCTTCGATTTCAGCTTTAGTCAAGAGCTGATTCTAAATAAATCAGGATATATGCATATTAAACGAATAATAAATATTTATATACTTATGCTTAATCGCATGTAACGTTTTGTAAAATTTACTTTAACATCAACCAAATTTCTGTAAAGAAACACCAAACCACAAAACATGGCAAGAAAAACAAGCGATCCAATTGTTCCCAAGATGATGTCCACCGTGTGGTCAGTAGTTGGTTCTATAGGTTCGGGCTCAACATCTAATATATAATAGCAGTTGGATATAATGCCGATAAGATTTTGTAATAATAGTTAAATGAACATTTTACATGCAAACTTTTCTACAAAGGCTTCATGGTCACTCGAGTCGTTCTTAACTCTTTTCCACCATCCAAAATGAGGTTCATGGGACGCTATCGAGATTTTCCAAGGCTCGTCAAATGCAGTAAACATGTCGACTCGAAACTTATTAATTTTTGCCCATTCGCCCATTTCTAACCAAAACTTTACGGAAGTATCGTAATTACGTTGACCATTTATTTTATCAAAACTTGCCCATCCAGTCTCCCCGACCACGTAGAGATCAGGCTTAACTGACGCGAGTTCTTTCTGAATTTGGAGCAAATATTCACCAACCAATCGAACCTCGGAAGACACATTTTTGGCCGTACTTGTAGGAAGTTTCTGACAATTGATGAAATCAATGAGATTTACCAATTCTCGCCCAAGAACCGAGTGTGATAAGGCGTCACAATTACTCGTTCGCACTCCCAATTGAAGTGACATGTTGCGTGCTTTCATGAAATTGTCTTTCAAGAGTTGGACAACTCTGCTCAACTGGTCATCGCTATAAGTATTATAACTCGTGATAATCACCCCGTTAACTGTTCCCTTAAAATTGTTGTTGGCTACTTCCGCGACGCTAAAGGCGTTTTCAATCTCTCGGTTCATAATTTGGTCATTGGAATTGTACCAAGTCCCAAGGTTGACAATTAATTCTAGAGCATTCATTTTCTTGTTGACGTAACTTGCAGCTACACCAGAGAGACCACCAGCGTGCCCTTCGTTCCAATTGTTCATGCTACCTTCATATTTAATTAGATAATTATAAACGGTAAACTAAAATATGTTATTCTAAATATATGTTGGACTTACTAATCGTTCCCATGCCGTAAGTTGAGATCCATTTAAACCGTTTCGTGACGACGAGCAACATGTCTTGGACGTCATCAATTGTATAATCATGCCGATCTTCATGATATTTAGTGTACGGTTCATAAACTACTCCAACGTAGTTTTTGTCAAAGTCAATAACGGGCTGAGAAGGGAGGGATGATGATAAGCCCTTAATATACGAAATTAAATTGCGTACTTACAAATTTAAATATTGAATTGACACTTTTTTCACAAACCTTCTCTAGGAATAAGATAAGTATGAGAAAGTGTAGCATTATTTATTGCTCTCCTATGTATGAAGATTTGGCTCTTCACGAACAATAAGACCAAGACCTTTCTACGCCTTTTAACTTACAAAAGTAAAATTATTCATCTACTGTCGTCATTTGTCATACAATTCAATGTGCTATCAACAGGACATGTACCTAAATACATATCGACATCGACCATACTTCCTGAATTAAACCACACCAGAATTTAATAAGTCACACATAAATAAGTTATTATCTATCAATACGCATATTATGTGGTCAGTTTTAGTCTTACTTTCATTAACCTTTCATTCACTCAGTGAATTTCACTGATATAAATAAGCAACGACATAAGCAATATTAATGAATGAAAATATACAGAAATGTAGCTCTCTAGAAATATCGCAAAGAATTTCAGATTCAGTAGTTTAATTTATATTTATTGTAAATAGTTGTTGATATTTTTTGTAATACAGTTACATATTGTTGAGATTCATGTATGTTTTAATGGACGGAATAAACGAAAATAATATTATTCGATCATGAATCATTTAAGCATTGGCGAGCTCTTTCTGCATATTCCAAAATTGCTTGAGACCACTCGGGTCGTCGAAATTATTGGCAGTTATCACATATTTGAAGTCCTTGCTCCCATACGGATTGTGAACAAGGGAAGGATCCCGTTGGAAGTATTTTGAATGGAAGGGGTCGAGTTCCATTTTCTTTGCGCAAATTCCAAGAAATACGTCATCCAAGCGCAAATACTTTGTGTAAAATGAAGCATAATGAAGTTCGATAACTGCCGATTTCGATAATACAATGGCTTCGGATGACACGAATGGCGGCATTTGATTGAATGAATATTCTTCGAGACCCAAATAATACTTTGTCCCTGCATTAGTATAAAAATATATTATTATAGTTAGTGATCCATTCTGGTGTTTTTTTAACTTTCAACTTTCTTCATAGACTAACCAATTTTGTAGCGATGTGTGTTAGCAAACACAACATTTCCTGCGTACAAAAGTGCATCCTCGGAGAGATCAATGTCAAAATCAATGGGTGAATTTTTCCACACTTTAGTTGGCTTCTTTGGCACGCGCAACTTATTCACTTGTCCGGCTTTCTCCGGTGAATACGTTCCATCAGAGGCCAAGTGATTAAGTTCTCTGTAATTATGGTTATCAACGATTGAACGAGAAACTCGCTGGTGAAAGTTTTTATGGTTCCTTCGATCATCCAACTCCTTTTGCTTTTCCCAGTAATTCTGCGCATAGAGTACATCAATTATTATAGCTTTTAGGTGTGTATAAATTGATTGAACTAAAAAATCGTAATTTTTAAAAAAGCTACACAAATAACAACAGACACTAGTACAGAACAAAATATATATCGCTACATTGAAAATATATAATTATGTACATGTATTTTTAGATTTACCGGATATTCAACAGGGTGTCGAACAAATTTTAACAAATTTTTGATCGACACATACATGTCGTCAGTCACAATGAATGCAAATCTAAATTGATTGCAAGTCTCGACCAACCATCTCAACCCCATTTGAATTTTGATCGTACTATTAAAATCTGTATCATGAAAATCTCCTTGAACAATATCACCAAATTTTATAATCTCATGTTCTATGGCTTCGTCCAATGTGGAAGTGTCAATTTTCTCCTGTCCTTCGTGTACAGGATCGTCCAAGTTCTTTTCGAATCCGAGTAGAAAAACGGTTTTTATTGGAACGTCAGAAAATCTTTTCGGATAACCCCACGTCTCTCGAATTACTGCTCTCCTCTCAAAATTGCTTGGGTTCGATTTGACTAATATTATGAGACGATAAGACGTGGAAGTGCAACCTTCCTCTGCTTTGGATAAATAGATGAGATTCGACCCGACCTCATTTATTGGCTCAACTGGAACTGGTTCATGATTCCTAGATATGAAAATAATAGTTATGACAAGAGTATATGAAGTACTTAACATGGTTAATTGTTGGAAAAGTAATTTTCAAACAAAAATGATATGAAAATCAAAACTCACTTGAACCTGAGAACCATGGTCTTAAAATCTTGGATATCCAGAGGATAAGAGAACTCTTTTGCAAAGTCTTTCTCCAAAAAGTGCCTATGAACCCCGGTCAAATCAGAAATTAATAAAATGCACCCCACAGTGCATACCAGGACGAAGGAGCGTTTAATTGAAATCATTTTATATTTCATGGGTATCTTGTTGTTCACATTTTTATGTGAGGTTGTTATAATGTAAAGAAATTCCTGTGTTCAGTAATACCAATCTCAAATTTTAACAAGGTTTAACTAAACAACAAACGTGTGCGATAATATAAAGCCAAAAACAGTGATAATATTGTTGTGCTACGAATATACATGATCTATGATTATAACACACTCGTAGTATGTTCGTAGTAGACGAGAATCTAAACAAACATGTGCTTTTATATTCTGTATCTGCAGTAAGATCGGTAAAAAGCGTTGTGGGGAAAGCAAGACGAAGTTGTTGAATAGGAAAATGACCCATTATTTCCTGCTTACAACGACTTGACTTTTCAATATTAATTATGCATGACTCATCAAAAACACTATGTGACATAATAATTTTGAAGCATTATGTGGTAAACAAATCTTTGTATTTAATGATATCCGTGATGCTGTAAAGAGTGACTTTGGTTTTGATTTGATTTGAGTGCTGCTGCGTGTTCAACTTTCTCCGGGTTCTAAAAGCTCACAGCATGTGCAATTCTCAGCAGCATTAGAGCTCCTACGTCGTATTCGATTTGACCTTCAACTTCAACGATGTCCTGTCCTATTCTCAAACAGTCTTGGCTAATATGTAAGCAGAGCTGGGCCAAAAAGCCGCAAACACTTTGGTCGAAATCGTCACGTTGAGAGTGACGGCGAAGGGTTTTCACTCAAAGTAAACTTTTCTTCCTCAATCGATGTACGAAGTTCACGAACTAGAATGTTGTAGTATTCGTATCAAAAGTTCACATAAGTATGTGAATTATATGCAGATTTTAATTGCTAATTAAGGCAATCCAAACAAAGGCCAAACTTGCATAATCATTTCGAGAAAATATTCATATCAGTAAGATTCAGCCAGTCGTAAATTACGCCATAAATTAGTTTGCATTTCAACCAAAATCCAAATACTCTTGAAGGAAGAGCCAGACTGTAACAATCCACGCCGAAATGTTCCGGTTATTGTTATATTTTTAATATGCTCGTCAATTGTATGCTGATGATGATAAAGAAATAATAAAAGAAGTTGATGTGCGGAACCTGAAATTCCATCGTTTTTTATGCAACACCTCTTCTTCGAAAGTATCAGTATCGTCACACCCTTGTCGACTTTTTTAGAAAACGCATATTTTTCACATTAATACATCCCCGAAAAAATGAATTATTTTAATCTGAATTTGCAAATGTTCACATATGTCTCTGCCGCCCCTGTCCCCTTTGGTTCGTATGCTGTCCGTAGAGGAGCCATTGACCCTATTTCCATCACATTGAACATATGATGGGGTGAATGTTCGGGCCGTGCACAATTCCTGTCATTCCTCAAAGTAAAGTTATCCCCAAATTTGAATATTTATTGCTAATGTTTTTAATGCATCCAACTTATGAAGTATGAAATTTAAAAATATGATGGATTTTTATTACAAAAGATAATCTTTCTTATCCACACTTAACGTCTATAACATTTTGGATTTATAAGCATAGTACATTAGCTACTATTATTCTAATTGATTATTTAATTAGATTGTCTGATTTCTAGTCTTAATACGACCCAATTAATGTGCCTCACGAGACGTCCATAGAAGAAAAGTATGCAAGTACATGCTATTTTGTAAGAAATGTAATTCGTTACACAGACCGTCTGGTGTTTCGATTCGAATGGGCAAACCCTTGTTTTTAGAGCATGTGGCATGTGGCAGGAGGACATAGTGGTGTGAGCCCCTTGAAGTAAAGAAGACTTTTTAACTTTTTTTACTATTGGGATTACATTACAATTCAAAGCTACTCGGTACTCCACTGCATGGTTTACGGCCTTGCATTTTCCTCTCAAATTCAAAATCCTTGTTCTGCTCACCCGAATTCCTCACCTCTATTATTGTCCCTCTCGGACTGGACCAGCTTATTAAGAACGTGAGCAACTGCTATAAATGGACAAGAACAACACTGTTTGTGGGACAGGGCCAGGCCCAGGGCACACAACATTTGCCAAAAAAAGTGTTTCTTCTTGTGCTTAATAATATTTTAAGGATGATGACGAGAACCATTATTGCAGTTTGGGTTGAATTGACTGGAAACCGTGTAGGATCGGGTACTAGAAATAAATAAACAAAAACATAAATAAAAACATCTTGTACATATATATTTATTATGTAAAAAAGGTCGATATTTTTCAGTTGTAGGTTTAAAATTAAGATTATCGTGCTATGCAAGTGCTGAGAAAAATAATATCTGTAAATATATAATAATAAAAAGAATAAATGCGAGTTAAAATGCACGTTTAAATCAAGTAATAAATACAAAATAAGCAATCTAAATAATTTGAAGCAATAATAAATAAGTGCTGGAAGGAAGTTGTTGTTGTGCAATCAGAAAATCTAATCCCAAGATAATAGTTTAATATTTACAAAAGATAGATACCAATGCTCGAGGTTTTTGGATTTAATTTTGTGAACTATTGTTAATCTTGTATAAACTGTAAACGAAGGAGTTAATAATAAAATTTAGCGAGAACAAATAAGGTGGAGAAAGTAACTCCAAGTATGTAACGAGAGCAAAATGACGCGAATCTGGTATTTCCTACTAGAACCTTAAGTATTAATTAGTCAATATTTAAAAGAAATCGGTGCAAGTTGCTTCATTCAACCCAACTTTAACGTAACCCATGGATGACTATTCTGACTCAAGTAAGTACTTGTTTAAAAAAAATTATATTGTTGTGTGCTTTCTCCATCCATGCATAATTAGGTCATATCATATGACTCGTATGCATAATCTGAATTCACCGGATATAACATGTTCCTCATTCAAGTTCATTCCATCATATGTAGCAAATCAGTGAATTATGTCCAGAATGTCGCGACACAAGCAGTTGGACTCTATAATTATTTAGCACCAAGTACATACAAGAATGGGTGCTTTCACTTGAGAATTTGTCAGAAGAGTGGATCACATTTGTTTGACTCGTGCAGTCAAAAAGTCGAATTGAAATTGAATTACATGAATTATGGTTATGCACCCTGGGTTATGCCGGGCGGTCAATAATTGCTCATAAGCAAGTTGACATTGTTTATTTACAACTAACAAATGCATACCCACCCCATACCATGTTCAACATCAGCCGTAACAGGGTGGAGGTTAACGTTTAACCGTTATCCAGAGACCCGGTTTACAAGGATTTTGGTACATATATAAATATTTATTTGAAGAAATATAGCCGTCGTATAAACACATTTATTTGGAAAAAGGTTCAGTGGTCCCTAATCTCTTGAATACCGTCTGACGGATAATTTGATGAGACACAGACGTAGGTTGTGGCAACTTCAGAAAGGGCTCAGCTATCAGCTACTTAAGTTAGTTTTCAGAAGATGGTTCCTGGTTAGAGATACTTACACGTTAGTGGAATATATATATGTATGCTCATCTTTCAAACCCTATTTACAATACAACACATTCTTTAGGTTAACTGGACGTATCCAATGCACTTCAAAGCAAAGAAAGACTGTTGTCCATGTATATATTTCATGGTCATAGTTGCCTGTCAGTACACTGAATCATACTTATACTACGGATATTACATTTCACCTTGATTTGAGTTTGAACCTACCTTTTTACTATTGGCTTTAGCCTAACCAATAATAAGTAGTCACCCCTTTTACTACATTACACTGCCCAGATTTTATGAATTAAAAAAATAAAATGGAGTCGTAGCAGGTCACTAGTGCAGTGGCATTATGGCTTGGGTAGAAGTTGACAACCGTTTAAGGCAACAAGTAAGGTTTAATGAGGAGCGACTCGGTTGACATTGGTCTGGTTAGGTTTCCATTTAGTTAGAGAAATAGATTGAAACTGAAAACCATTTTCGATTTTCCGCAGACAATCGGCTCGTCGTCTAATCGGGTTTGTTGCTTGTTGATCGAGAATTCATATGAAATTTCATACCTTGTCCTTATTGTTATATATATATATATTCGTATATATATATCATCCTTTTCGTTTTCTTCATTTTGTTTATGGTCGTCAAATTTCCAATCGTTTCTCGTGCCCCCAGCGGTTCCTTGAAGTACCTCCGATCGCTCACAGTCGTACCTCTCAATAATTTAGTCGAAGCCTTGTGGTTCATGTGTACAGTTTTGTTCTATTTCGAAAAAACAAATAAAAGTTCTTATAAAATCTAATAAATTTGTATTGCATTGTGATATTTAGTACGAGTTTCGATTTTAGTTTATTGTGTGTAGAACTACTAGTGATAATATTTGTATAAATGACAAGTTAAAAGTGTGCTCTGCCCTCGTGGTATTTTTTGTATATAAATCATTAAACTGAAATACACAGTTGAGATGTTTATTACAAGAGAGAGATTAAAATTACATACACTTAATGCTCTGCAATATGGACATACAAAAATCTAAATGTTTGTAAATACTTGGTGTATAACTTGTTTCTTGTTTAGAAGCAGCAATTAATACAGCAAGCAGTGTGGTGTGTGGGATTTAATGTAGTTTCTTGGAAATTTGTTATTGCAAATTTTTAATGGATTTTCGACCAGTAAGCGGAAAGATGTGTCGTTGTGAAAATGTAATTATGGACTTGTTTTTATGGATCAGAGCGACAATAGCTGGATTTTAAACATATTGTAATGTCTTGAGGACAATACATGTACATTTACACCCGCATATTAATAATCTATATGTAGATGTACGATACATATATGTCTCAACTAGGGTTTTGTAAAGATAGTAACTGCATTCTCCAGTTATCAGTACAGCCATGGGATTTCAATGAATGGAAGTTGCATTGCTTCGGTTTTATTCATTCCTTAATTATATTCGGTAATTGAATTCGTTTCAGAGTGCACTGGGTTCAGTCATTTGTTGGCTGGTTACAGTGACACGTCGCTACACATTTTGTCAGAAAAGGTCCTACGACGAAACACTTGTGCACGTTTGTTTGTGAATCACTGGTAAAATGTGGGACACATTAAAACCCCAATGCACTTAATAAAAGTGGTCAATATTTGGAAATGTGGTGGCTAGTGATATAGTTGCCCGACAGAGACAGATGCATCAGAAAGATTTATTGACGCTCGTAATTCTGCGGTTTAGCAAAATATCCTGCTCAGTTGCAGTTAGATTAAAATTCTTGAGAAAGTTAATTGCACTCATTGGTTCAAATGTCAAAATAGTATAGTTTTCCATTCGTCTACATAAATCCACGAATGCCCTTGAAGTAGCGAAACTCTTATAAATATGTGATCCGTCCTATTTAAATATCAAATTACAAAACATTTCTTATCTTTATGTGAAATGTGAGGCCAATTGCGGAGTACAGCTTTGAACTAGGGAGCAAATAATTGGGCTAGTAGATATTTTAACTTGAGATAACTGACGGCAAATCCTTGCACTTCTCAATCGTAATACATTAAGTTGTAAAACGGAAACCCATTAACA